GTAAGTTGTTTGCATTAAAGATGGACAGACAAAAATGTCCAGTGTGAAAATACCATAGCCTCCAAAGAATTTTTCAATCTGGAGAAACCCACAAATTCAGTCATGATTTGCTTCATATAGCTTCACTTGGACACTTTTTAAAAAAGAGTTTCAGAGTCTCTCTTTAGCAGCAGTGTTGTGCGACTTGACCTGTTGGCTGCAACTTAAAGTAAAAAATTAAATAAGACTGATGCACCAGCTGAAGGCTTCCACTGCACGGACACAGGGCACTCAAAGCAGCCAGATCAAAGTCAGATTATTAAAACTGCCTGCAACATCTGAAAATTTTACATTTCCTAAAAACCTGTCGTGTACAGGCAGTAAATCATGAATCAACTACATACAGTACATATTATCTCCCATGCTGTTATAAGCACTCTCAACAGTTGCCCAACAGGATTCATCGAAAGAGAAATTAAGCGCAACAAGACCATCATTCTTTTCACTAGTATCTGTGTTAGGCAGCTTATTTTGCGGGAATGTGGTCTATAGGGAGTTTTCTTTTTGTATTATGATAAATAGAGCCAGGTTTTTTGCAGGAACATGCACTTATTCCAATGACCAACAGGGGGTGTCAATCCTGGAAATAAAAAGCAGCAGATTTAAAATGTCAGATTCTTGTCTTGTTTAAAGTAAAATACGGCAGAAAGTTTAAGGTGGACTTCTCAGGTTGTTTCCAGTGATTTTCAGGGGAAGAAATTGAACTGAAGGGTAGAGGCGGTGAATTATTTATATAATTAGTGATGAAGTCGTAACATTGAATATTGACTATTGTTAAACATTTGGCTCTAGAGACACTTCAAAGATACATTTGACCACATATAACAACTGGATGACGTATCACCCAAATTAAATAATCATGAACATGAGTGTGAAAAATAAAAGCAAAAATATTAGTGTTCTATCATGGTGTTACAAAAGACCGTGTGAATATTAAAATACTGAAACACTGTGTTCAATGGAGGATGATGTCTGACTGGTAAAGACTCCAAGGATTTTCTTTTGCAGACATATTTTCTGTTTGTTTAGACACTCATTGTAGTGTGCATGCTCTGCTGTAATAAGGTGCTGATAAGCTACTTACCAGTGAGAGGTGTCTGACTCATGCTGTTAATTTAAACCTGCTTCTTTAGATATGCCAGCTTCTAAAACTGAAGACTTGCTCTAATGAACTGTTGCCAGCGCTCATGTGTTGCATGGCCTTTTTCCTCTTTTCCTTTTAGGGAAGCGGAACTCTGTTCTACAACATAAAGTCCAGCATCACCAAAGTTCTGGCACGCTGAACCTTCACGAGACAGAGATGATCCAAAGAATAGTGCAGCATGACCGTGACATGGCCCAGTGCACCCAGCTGATCCAAACCAGCGCTGCACAGAGTCTAAACCCTCCCCCCGCCCCCCCATCACCCACCCCTCTCATCTGGACCCCGTTGGTTCAGGCTCCGCTCCAGGCTGCAGCTGCCACCACCCCGCTGGCTCTGGCCTTAGCCCATCACTCCCAGCTGCCCCCCATCCTTTTCCACAACCCTCTGGCACCAGGCTCTGGCTCCATGAAGGAACACAGCAGCCATTTAAGGAGGGTGCACATCGGAGCTAACGCTTCCAGCTCAGGGCCCGGATCTCCTGCCAGCCCTGCCAAATTTAGATCTGTGATTGACACCCCCACTTTGGGGTTCCCCGTTGTACAACATTTCTCTACCGGACCGGGGTCTCCCACTCTGACGTCACAGCCCATTTTCACCAGCAGCCTACAGCCCGTGACTCATCTGCCCGCACACCAGGCCTTTGCCCACGCTTCGCATTCTGGCTCCACCCCAGTTTTCCCCATCGGCCAGACAGCCGTCTCATACACCTGCTCCTCTCAGCTCCACTCCCAGCCGTTCCACGGTGCCATGACGACTCCACCACAACCATTAGGTTTACTCCAACAGGGGGGGGTGTGGAGGCTTCCGGGGAGATTCCCCGCTCCCACCATAAGCCCTCTGATCTGCGGTTCGGTTAATCCCATTCTGGGCCAGCTGCAGCAGGCCTCTTATGCCTCCATGCAGCCGTCCAGTCAGAGCAGAGCGAGCAGGACGTGCAGTGACGTGAGCCTCCCGCATTTTGTCATCACCCACACCCAGTCCTCCGCTGGATTTAATCAGCCAGTGTATGCAAGTGGAGTGGGGGCTGCAGCTTCTCTGGCCCAGCACAGCTTGGGAGGACTTCAGTCTGCCTTCCTGCCCCAGGTTCTCCCCGAGCACTCGGCCCTGGCCTCCTTGGCTCAGTACGGCTCTGCCGAGGTCTCACCTTGCTACACGCCTCCTGTGCATAGTCCCTGCACCCAGAGTCCTGCGAGGGGAAGGACAGTTTACCACAGTGAGCTCCCCGGCAGCCTGGGCCCTCGTTGCTCTCCAACCCTGCAGCCCTCCTGTCCCGCCAGGGGGGCCACTACCTTGAAAGAAACTGCAGCCTCCTCTGCAGATGTTTTGACCCAGGAAATAAAGACGATCTCAGGCTCCCACAGCTATCTGCACTATGAAAGGCCTTGGGCGGTGAGTGGCTCCTCTGAGGGGGCCGCAGGGGCCTCCTCCTCTTCCTCGGCTGTCAGTAAACCCCACACCCCCATCCCAGGTCAGGCTGCTCCTGTCAGTCGGACACATTCAGGACCCGAACCTTGGAACCAGTCCGCTGATGTTCATGTTCACTCTCCACTCGTTTTATCTCCAGCTAAAATGTTAGAAAATGAAGACAAACAGTCCAAACTTCCCTCCAACTTGTGAGTTTCAGACACACCCTCCTTTCCGTACTGGGGATCACCTCCTTTTTTGGTGTATTTTAAACTGCCACAGTATCTATTTTTAATGTAGGAGGGTGTGTTATTCTTACCAGATAGAAAAATGGGTGGTTTTGTTAATCCTTTGAATGTTTGGATAGTGATCAATGGACAATCCTACAGATGATTAAATCTTTCAAACAGGCTGATCCGAATATGTATAACATTCTCATAAAGATTTCACTTGCTCTATATATTATTCTAATTATTCTAACCTCCCTCTGTGATTTGTTGTCAGTATTTGTTTGATACCCCATTGTCCAGGCTAGTTTGTGTACTCACTTAGCAACACCTGTTTAGTTGTCCATGTCGTATTTATTTATTTATGATTCAAACCAAAAATCTCTGGATTATTTTTGTATCCTTTACAAAGAGTGCTTGAAGGGTTGTCTGAATGCAGGGTTAGTCCCTCAGAGGTGCACGGTGAGTCAGGCTGCACACTTTGCACATTTCAGAAATCACCTAGTGCGAAGATCTGACGATGGCACGTCTTCCAAAATAGCTTTTCAGCATTATTGCACATCAAACTGGTCACGCAAGACACATCGGACTGCGTTAAAGAATATTTAATGAATGTAATTCTATGTTTGTCTGTCTGAGAGAAGGAAGTAGAATTCATTTGAATGTTTCGAATCATAATGACGGTTAAGTCTGTCGGGTAACCAAGCAAACCGGATGATGGATACCAGCTATTTTCAGCCTGGCACTGACTTTGGTACAAAGCATCCACCAGAGTTGAGGTTTGTGTACCATTAGCATAGTATGCAATAATCTTTTAAAGGTACTGTGAATTGAAGGACCTGTCTCAAAGACTGAGATTGTGATTTTAGTAAGTCCAGTGAATTTTTTAAACAAAAAGCAATTACGGATAATCATCCTGAAACCAGCGATGCACTAAGATTGACGTGAATGTTTCTTGCACCAGTTAAAGGGCTACTAGCAGTTACTTGGACACAGGATCAATGTGAACCCCTGACGGGTCATGTTGCTGCATATTTACCTCTTTCATTGTACTATGTTTGATTGTAAAATTAGACTTCTGCTGTTGAACACTTGCTGCTTTGTAATGCTATGCTGACTCAAAAGGACTGCTTTTTAAAACTCCTCTTGACACCCATCTTTATGTACATTTGTTTATGTGATGCGTTTTTTTGTTGTAGTTTTTTTGTGGATCTGCGGCCGGTGACAAACTGTGAGCAACAAGCTGGTCGGCCTGGGTGCTGGATTTGGGCTCTGTGTGACTCTGAACCCTGTCCCATGAGAAGCGATACCATCAGTCACTGCCAGTGGGCTTGGATCAGTTCTCTTTATTATTCTTCTCCAGCCACCTACCAGCATTATCAGCTGGCCTTGAGTTTAGGGTTTATTTTGAGAACAATCACTTTTACATGATTTTAAAGGGATATGGTGTATGTTTTTCTTTTGACTTTCTTTTGAACTACCAAATGCAAGGATTTACTCCCCTACATGTTCGGCGCATTTTATTTTAGCTACCGAATTCAATGCAATAAAATAACATGTAGTCAATAATGCTTGTTTCAACTGTTGATTTCTTACTGAAGAGCAGACTGTGGACTAAAGGAAAACTAATAAAGGCAATAGGATGTCCCAAACTTTAGGATGGATATCAATCTCTCTGGGGCTGAGCTAAAAAATAAACCAAATAAGAGGAGTTTTCTGGATGCCTTGTCTCTGTGCTGAGTCAGTGCAGTCAGAAAAAGATGTGTCCTTCAGCATGGAGTTTGCTTGTTGTATTTCATACATGTGTGGGTACTCCTTCCACACATGTAGAAAACAGCATGTTGCCATAATGTTTGTTTATAGTTGACTAAACAGAAAAATTAACGCAGTGGCATTAAAGGAAGAACATATTAACATGATCCAATAGTTTATTTTAATGGATTGTGTTAGTTAACCTCACAATGACATGTTAACAGCTGACAGATATATGGGAATCATAGGAGAAGTCTATGAAATCAGCAGGACTTAGACAAGAGATTTGACATGATGAGGAAAGATATCACGGTGTTACAGCTGGTGGAGTAACAGTTTGGACTCTCTGTAATGAAAACCAACAGAGTCCAAGCTGGAGGAAAGAGGGCTACATAATGGAGGAGGATGGAGTGTTTATTGTCTTTGTTTTAAGTTTAAGGCACAAGCACAACCCTCATGGTGTTGGTGTAACCGGAGCCTGGGCGCCAGCCGGTCACAACAAGGGCCACGTCACCGGACTTGAAGAATTTGCGGTGCTTGCCTAAAAAGCGAATAGAAAGTCATTTAAGTCAGTGGAAAAAAAAACACTTCATATGTTTAACAGTTTTTTTCCCAACAAAATGGTTTTCACTCACCAACTTCCAGGGCAAAGTTTACACGCATGTCAACATCCTCAGCCCAGACGTCATTGGCGGGCTTGGTGTAGAGCACGGGGTAGACTCCACGGTACAGGTGAGCCTGGCGGGCGGTCTGACCACAGCGGGTCACAGCGATGATGGGGGCACGGGGCCTGTACCTTGACAGCATGTAAGCAGACCTGCAGGCGACAGAAAAAACATTTGTGATGAACTGAAGGTGAGCATGAGTTAGTGTTTTGCGATAAGTTATCAAGAAGTTGAAGAACCAACGTTATGAGCTGGACATGAGTCAGGACCAAACAATGTATACAAACCAGTATAATTGATATTCAAAATTGATATTGAATATTAACTATTACTATTTTATAGGCTATAGGAAGTCAAAGTGACAGCGGCAAGTTGTCGGGGTTGCATGGTGTGAGGCTGAAATCCCGAATGGACAGCGAGTTAAAATTAACACCTAAAATGTCAAGGGTCAGATCTAAAAAGGTCACCAACAGAGAACAGATTGAGGGGGCAGCAAATTTAATTTGAGCCATGAGTGTGTATCAGGGAAGGAGCAGAGGCAGCGAAAATCAAAAGATTTAATGCTGCGGCAGTTTCCTGGCCCAGAGCGGTGGACACGGATGATACTGTTAATCAGAGCCGTGCAGGAACGAGCTGCAGCCTGGACATACCTGCCAGTCTTAGTAAGCACGATGATGGCGCTGGCACAGCACTTGAAGGAAGCCTCCACAGTGCCAATGGCGACGGTCTCTGTGGGATCACGGGTCAGATGAGAAGTGCGGCGCAGCTCCTCGAACATCTGCCTGTGGAACATGGCGGCCTCGGCCTCACGGGCAATCTGAATACGTGAAAACAGTTGGTGTCAAGTGACGAGCTTTGATCAATGAGGCATTTTCACCATGTTCGATCCTAACGCCAGGTTCTACTAGCTGACTGCTGCCTAAAGATCTATGTATGCACGTAACAGAAATTACACTGATTTACTAAACACATCTGTCTTGTAAAAGTTCATGATGAGCGTGATGTTGGAAAGAGAAAACAGATGCATTTTTACCCTGTGCTGTGTGCGAACAGACTCCAGAGGATACTCTCCCTTGGCGGTCTCACCACTCAGCATGATGCAGTCATTGCTGTCCAGCACAGCGTTGGCAACATCACTGGCCTCAGCACGGGTAGGACGGGGCTTCTTCGTCATGCTCTCGAGCATCTTATAATGAACAAAAACAGACAGGGCATCATTTCCTGTCTGCTTACAAAAAATGTCCTCTCTGTCTTGTTGGCACTCTCACATATGGTGATAAAGACCTGAGTGGCACAGATGATGGGCTTTCCAATCCTGTTGCATCTTCCAGTCATCATCTTCTGGGCCAGGAAGACCTTTTCTGTTGGGATCTCAATACCCAGATCTCCACGGGCAACCATGATGCCGTCACTAGCCTCCAGGATCTCATCGAATCTGACATTGGGGGAAAAAAACGGTTCAACATCTGTCGTAACCCCCCCCCCCTTGAAGGTCTGGCTGTGACTGCTGGTAGTCCACTCACTTGCGCACACCCTCGTGGTTCTCCAGCTTGCTGATGATCTTGATGTCCTTTCCCTTGTCGCCCAGGGCTTTCCTGACAGCTTGAACGTCAGCAGCCTTACGGATGAAAGAGGCGAACACCATGTCAACGCCCTGCTCCACGCCAAACTGCAGGTCCTGCAGGTCCTTCTCAGACAGAGCGGGCAGGTCGACGGCCGCGCCGGGCAGGTTGACTCCCTTCTTGCTGCCAAGCATACCACCATTTTCAATCTCACACATCAGGTAGTCGTTACCTTAGAACACACAAAGTACACAGTTAAGTTTCCAAGATTAGACACAACGAAACACTAATGGACCAGATGGAAGAAAACAGCTAATCATCAGTGTCCATACCGACTTCTTTGACTTTTAGGGAAATGAGACCATCATCAACATAGACGTGGCTTCCGGTCTGGACGACTTTGGTGATGTTTTTGTAGTCGAGCCACAGAAACTTCTCATCGCACTTCTCTTTGTACTGGTCATCCAGTGTGACCTTGATGGTTTCCCCCTTTTTGAGTTCTACCTCGGCAGTGGCACTCTGAACAAGATGAAGACAGGGTTTATGCTTTTATTTTCTCACTACAAAGCCAAAATGGAGCTTTGCTAATTTGGCTTGAACTCACTCCCTTGATAAGACCGGTCCTGATTTCTGGTCCCTTAGTGTCCAGAGCAATAGCCACTGGCCTGTACTCAACAGATCCTGGTCCAAAGCTCTCAGTTGCCTCACGGACATTCTTGATCGTCTCAGCATGGTACTGGAACATAAATTACACAATTTTTCATTAAATTGAAAAATTGTGTACACATCTACAGTCAGATGATTGCATGAGCTGATTAGATTCAACTCTCCCCACTGTTGTGGCAATTTGGTATCTGAATTTATGACATTCAAAAAAAATGAGAAGCATGCAGAAAATAATACACCAGCAGGTGGTTGGACAGGCAAAGGGGAGCTCTACACTGGCCTGAAAACTCAGCAGATTAGATGCACAACTGCAACACATTTTTAGTACATGACACACAAATACCCTGCCATCAAAATAGCTGCCGTTGATAGCATTATACTCTACAGCTGTATCCTAATCACATTAATGCAAAAAACAAAAGAAAAAAAATGGCTGTCATTTCCCTAGATGAAGTAAAAGTGAGTTTTAACTGCCTCAGAAATGAAAAAACTAATGTGAACACTGCCTGCTGTTCTCAGTCTATATTGTCCGTGCACTCTTGCTTCCCCACATGCCTTAACTCCCGCAGTTGCTGTGAGGCTGACTTCTATTTTTAGGGGCACTGACAACTGCCACACCAATGAGATAGAGGTCAGGTTTATTTTTTCCTCCCTAACAAGTCGTGAACAAACTTTGTTGTGATTTTCTGTAGTGATGATTATTGACTGCGCTAACACATCAAAGTTATCAAAGCTGAGCTATGTCGCTGAAATTAACCAATGGTGTGCACTCTCCTCACAGAGGAATAGAGCTGTGACTTTTAAAGGCAAAGGGTCAGTGGTGTAAGGCCATCCACAGAGTTGGCTGTTATATCCTTGGCCTCCAAGCTACAACATAGACTCAGAGCTGAAGGGTCACTGACAAGCTCACAGCTCACATTACAGAGAGTTACCAGGCTACAAGAGAAATGTCACCCAGGCTGTTCCTTCCAAATGTAAAGGGTAAATCATCTTTCTATCGCCTTCAGAGGTTGGAGAGGCTGTTGCTGCACTGCTTTGTGTCGCACTATTAAGCATGACGCTCTTTTTGAATCCCAAACGTCTGTGATGTCACAGCAGGTGTTCTGTTACTAATACCTTTGACTGGAGCGCCGTGTTTCATGTAACCACTTAATTTGGAATACGTATTTACATGATTTTTTCAATGAAAATGGAATTTAAGAGGCAGAGAAAGAAACACTGGGTCTCGTCCTATCACTTACCTCATGTGTACCATGAGAGAAGTTCATTCTTGCAATGTTCATCCCAGCCTTGATCATTTCTTTGGACATATCCACAGAACGGGAGGCAGGTCCTGTAAGAGCACAGGCAGTGAATGCACAGCGACAGGAGGAATAAATACAATCATCTAAAATTGTGACATGCAGGGGAAATTTTGTTAAGGTGATTTTCACATGTTTTATATAATAGGAAAACATAAATGGGCTTCGGAGACATTGCTGACCGATTGTGCAGATGATGCCAGTGTTGCGAGACACGGCAGGCTCAGAGTCAATGTCCAGCAGGCACATGTGCTCAATAAAGGTGTCTGCCATGGCAGCATGCATCTGCTGGGTATGCATGATGGAAGAGCCAGAATCCTTTGACTTAGACATGATTGGATCTGAGTCTGCAAGAAAAGACCTTTTGAGACAGAAAAAGAAATAAAAGACAAAATTTCATGAATATCTTTGAAAGTTGTTAGTCCATAAGTAAGAGACACTCCAAGTTATGTTTAATGACATGTCTTTAAAAGGCCAGCACAATGAATAATGCGTTTCATTTGAGGAAAGGAGGTGCAGACAGTAAAATATGATGGATAATAGGAAAAAATAATACGAAATAGAATAAAAAATATGAATGGAAAAGTGTTCAGCGTGGCCTCTTTGTGGATTACTTTTATGGACAAATGCATCGCAGAGTGTCCTTGTAAGCTGACAAAACAGCCTGTGCAGAGGGCTACGACCCAATAATGCACCGGCCACAATAAACACATTCTAGCTTTATTTTATGTGCAGCCGAAGAAGAGCTGAGACTGAAGGTGATTCATGCACGCAGGCAAATGTAGGAAAGTATTCAAGTGCCACACCCCCCTCCCCCAGAAGTCACCAGGGTTCAATCCCCATGATCTTATTAACATCATAAAAACATATGCGATTCATTTTCTTTTTCTACAATCAAGTCAATACAGGGTTTATTCAAATTTATAAGCCATATGTGATTGTTTGTAAAAGATCAGCACATTCAGTAACTCAGCATGAACTGCAGCGACTGACAGAATCACTTAACATTTGGACTACAGAGCAGCAAATAAGACATGATGGTGTTATTTTTTATGAGACAAATGGTCCTAAAAAGGCAGATGTGCATAAGCACCAATAAAGACCTCAGTTGAGATTTGATGGTATTAATCACATATAACGATATAGAAAGTTTTATTTTTGAATAATAAAAGGATCAGTTACTTTGACTAAACCTCATCTTAATAAAATAGATTAGCCTCATTTTCCATCTGCCTCAATTAAGTTAAACGTGTTACTCACCAAGTGGGTAAACTTTGCAGGGACAAAAGGCGCCGTCGCCTCTGTTGGGGAGCCCGGTTTTATTCTCTGAGGGACTACTTTCTTGCGCGTGGAACAGCCGGTGACATCGGATATAGGGCGCGACTGTTAAGGCAAAACCACCGACCCACAGTCCAGTAGACCATGTATCCTGATATGGACGTTGATTTCTTGTAATTTGAATGAAGTACAGTTTTAAATAAAAAATGAGAGCGCAAAAAAAACTGACGAAATATTGAGCGTGTCAGTTTTGTTCGCCTGTCAACTCTCTGCTGAAACTTAGACAGGATCCTGTCTTCACTTTTCAGCGGAGGCATTGTCACCAATTAGCACTGACACTTGATGCAGACGGTTTCATAAATCATGACTTTATATAAAATAAACGTCGGGATCTGAACTGTGCAGTTTTTAGGGTGTAAACCGAATAACGTGTCCACATTCTGCATGTTGCTCTATTGCAAAGTGGAGTTGATGACGGGGTTTAACGGTTTTTGGTGACACATGTTCTGTGTTTTAAGAATTGCCTGTTGCCCCCCTTTTGTTTAGTTTTTTTTGTGTTTTTTTTTAACTTTGAACACTAGAGGATCTTCAAAATCTCAATTCTACTTGGTGAGGACAGAACTGCATAAGGAACACGTGTCACGTTTTGCTGAACGCAGTTCTACATTTAGAAAGTAATCTGGGTGAGTTTGTGCCCAGTACAGCATGTAAACACTCACTGCCTTGTCATTTCCATCTTCTGGCTGAATTTCATTCACTTTTCCAATTCGACATAGGAACATATGCATGATATTTCTTTGCATTTAACGGTTTAAAAGTTGTCTACCATTTATCATCTGTCAAAATAAGTCTTTTACACTTTAAACACAGTGCAATATAATAGATCTTCACAGTTTAATGAAGTTATGACATTGTAGGCATGGTGAAACGGTGAAACCCTGCCGAATACAGGCTGTGATAGATGTGACAGATGATCTCTTTCATGCAACAGTAGACTCTTGCAGACATGCAACTCTTATATCTATATAGTAGTTAATTATTATAAAATTAGTTAAACCGTGCACAGGCAGTAACATGTGATTCAGCGTTTCCCAAAAATAGAGACTGTAGATGCATCACCTCACCAAGTATCTGGTTGTCACACTGTCAAGCTAAATCATGTTATGCACATCTGAGCCATGCCTGGCTCCATGCAGCATTGGTAACATGCCGTCCAAACCCATAAAACCAGATCCTCCCATGCTGTTTTCGTCATGTGTCCAAATTCCTTACTGTTATCTAATACTCCCAAATGTGTGGCTTTATCCTCGTTTGTTTTTTTTTTTTTTGGTCTCCTGACTGCTGCACAGTTGTCTTTTTCTTGTCATCTTTTTTCCTCCCGACGTTGTGCTCTGCTTTGTAGGTCCCTGTATTTAATACCGTTTTTATTTGCATGTCAGCTCACCATTGTTTTTATCTACAAAATTTTGCTGTTACTGAACAGATGAGAAATATGAGGAGATATCGAAATTCCAGCTTGCATGTACAGATTTAAAAGCAACGCTCAGGTTTTAAGCTGCCTCTAAGAAAGCCCCATGCTCAATCCCAAAGCCTTTATTTGCTGAATAGGAACAAAATATTAATCTGAAAAAAGACTTGTAGAAATGGAGGGCTAAACTATCCAGAACGTGTCAAATGCCGAAGCCCATCCAAGAAGTTATAAGTAAACTAGTTTCATATATAAATGCAACGTGTCAGTACTGTAATTCTTGGGGAGAAAACTGACTCCATCTGTCATTCACCCACCTCCCATTTAGATTCGGATACATTTACAATCCAAAAAGGGAAGTGAGGAAGTGAAGCCGCTCCCTGCTAAGTAAAACCTGTAGTACTGCTTTCGGAGTGAAGGTAGATTAATGACTGAGATAAAAAATAATAAGGTCTTCAATTAGCTCCCAATAAGGTCACCTCAGTTCTCCTGCGCGTGGACTAATTGCATGTGCTGCATCATGGGAACATATGTATCATGTTTCAAGATCAGATCAGAACGTATATCTGAGCATGCAAAGCATTTCCTGGATAAAATCACCTCAGATCCAGGTCTTGTTTTACATATTTTGATGTGATTCATTGTAGTTAAAATTGGTTAGTTACATTTTCAGAAATCCCTTTTTAAAACCAAAAATCCTCACAAGAATACTGATAAAAAGTGCCTTTAGTACATCATCACATGGGGAATATATATCAGATCAGTGAAATTAAGTGAAATGAAAGGAAATGGTAGGGAAAAAACAAAAACAAAATGTAAATGTACTTTAAAATAGTGAGCTTGCTTGCTGAAACAAAGTATACACTATTGTAAATGGATGGTTTTCTCCATCCATTTACATGCAGGACGCTGTCAAAGCTCCATTTTGCTAGTGAGCCACTGGACAGGCCCTCTGTCAACAGCTCAACTTCAGCTCTCTCTTGTGGTCAACTGATTGAATTGTCTCAAGGGGCCTGAAGTCAGCAAACTAGACAGTACTGTACACACTGACATTGCTGTGGAAGTCATTAAAACAATACATCTGACATTTAAAGCTCAAATCTAGCATAATAAATATCTAAATAGTTTTGGGGGGTTTCTTTTAAAAAAGGGAGAAAAGAATAATACAATCATGTGTGAACTTCAATATATATATTTGGGCCATTTTTTATGATTAGTCAAAACTAAATTAATTAAAAATTCTCAGGTATAGACCAGATTATGTTTGTTTTTTTAAGAAGGAAAGATGGCAGATGTTTACTGCTGATTTGGCAGGACAGACCTGAAAATTGTGACAGATTTAGATCCTCTGCTAAAAAACAACAACTAAAACCTTTCCACTGAGTAGAATATAGATCAGCAACAATGTAAGTGTTGAAGCTTTCAATATTCTGAAATTATGTGAGCCATCTGATCAGGAACAGCCATTTCTGTTTGTGATGATTTCTCAATCTTCACATGCATATACTGGCAGGGATATGGCACCCATTCCCTACAGAAACCCCCGCTCATGTCAGAGTGGATTACCCTGAGAAAAGCACTTGTAGAGAAAAGACCTGCACAGATGCATCCTGGAAGTGTCTAATCTGGCCAGACTCCAGATCAGCAGGCGTCCACTAACAAGGCTAACTGCTGATTAAGGTCAGACTGCCATGCAGCAGACAGACAGAGAAACCAATAGATGACAAACATCGTCCAGTTCGTCATCCTTCAACTCTGCCATCAGAGATCCTTGTTTTTTTTATTTTGAGACCTTAAAATTGATTCATGTGGCTGACTTTTCAAGGCCTGGAAGACGTGACACACTCGTCTCTTTTACCTGCTATGTGACATGTCTGCATTGGAATGGGTGGCTGCTGAGATCACACAAATATGAAGAAGACACTGAGGGCTCTCGTCACCTCGACGGTGTTTCACCTTTAGACCATTCAACCGACCAGACGGTCAGAACCAGCCCTCCCGTGACTCGGACCCAGGCTGAAGACAATCTGTTGTGCAAAACAGAAAAGAGAGCAGACAAACTCAGACAACCAACAGAGCTCTGAAAAGGGATTTTTTTTCAACCAGGATGGCACCTGTGGACATTTGATTACATTCTTTTTGCCCATTTTATGTGGAAATGTAATGTTTTTTCCCCCAGAGAAAAGGTAGGAACCTCATTTTTCAGGGGCCAAATCCAAATGATCCATTATGAGTAGTTCAGTGGAATATATTTTAGTGTATTATCTAACTCCATGATGTCACTGCACATGCAGGGATGAACAGAGGTAAACATGTTTAAGCTTTAGAATTAGGACAAAAACAGTGACTGCAGTCTGTTCATATGTTTATTGAATAGCAGAATGTGCTCATTATTATTTGTATTTCACTGTTTCAGTCAAAGTGGAGTGAACACCTTACTGAATGTTGCTGAGGGAGGTCCACAGATCTAAGCACATGGTGAGTCTAGAAGTTGATGTCATTTCCCAAATCTTCAAATGTACTCTCTACATATTGCATTTGTTTCATTTATGTGTTTCAACAGAAAGAACACATTCACAGCGTTCAGGTTTCCCACCCACAGGAAACTGAGTGTCATCTGTGGAAAGAGAGCTGCAGCTGCAGTGATGATGACAGTGATTCAGAGGAGGAGCTTTATGGAATTCCAGTAAACATGAGTTTTATGCTCTTTTCATGATTTGTTGTAATACAATACAAATTGTCTCCTAGAATCCCTATTTGTTAGACTTTATGGAGAGCAGGAGTTTGATCTGATTTTGATTTAATACACAACTTGCCAAACATGATGATTTATTCTTTAAAGTACAGATACATATTTAATTTCACGAATGACTAACTATACTCTACAACCTACCACACACACACACGTGTGTGTATGTGTGCCTCTATATTGAGTTTAATTACAGCTTTGGGTGCTATCCCATTTAAAAATCTAAATTAAAATCAAAGCGTTGTTTGCAGTTCCTGGTAAAAGTTTCTTTTTGATCTTAATGGCAATGGCTGCTGTCTTCGGTTTAAACCCTCAGTCTCCTGTCGGGCTGAGCTATTGGTCCGTGGGTAAACCTATTAGTGTTTGTCTCAGCAGGGGAACTGTGCCACTGACCTGTATCACCACCCCCAGCTGGATGCAGACATGGAGGCAGTCAGGACTTTGTATTCAGACTCTGCAGTTGCTTTCAGGTGAACATCGAAACATTTCTTCCCTGAAAAGTAAGCTCCTCCAGCTCCTCTGCATTCTCAAAATGTCCCCTCCCTTTTTCTTTGTCATTAGGGACTACGTGTCAATTGATGGCGTGGATGTTGACTTAAACATTAACTGCAAACTTTTGAATGTAAGTTAATCATTTACTCATAGATTATTAAAGTTATGTTTTCAGCTTTAAATTGATAGTCATTCATCAATTAAATAAAGATTACTAAATAGATTAATCTCGCTGTTATTTTGAAATGAGTTTAAAAAATTGCCACATTTGAATTGTATTGAAGCATATGGAATGTGTGTGTGCACTACCTAAATAATGTCTAAAAGTAAGTCTGTGTGCACGGTTTGTCAAGCCAGGCGGTGAATTAGACCAGGGGCACATGTTCTGTTTCCCACAATGCATCACAAACTGCTTGAGAAAGCTTTTCTACAATGATATTTTGTGTTGGAATTAAATTATCAATAAGATGTACTTGTGTTTAATACATGTTTATTCAGTTAACCATAAATTATGAACTGTATATATATATATATATAATTTTAACAAAATATGAATATCCGAAAAAGGTACAGTTTAGATAGGCCATTTAAATGTGAGCATACTGTGTATTATTTACAGGGGGAGGTGGCCAAAGCCTGGAGCATTAATCCTTCAGAGCCTCTTGTGATCAGGCTGCATTTCTCCATGTCTTTGTATCTGGATGGACCTGGTGAGAACCTCTCACCACGTAAACACAAATTAACCATGAATCACAGGAAATCTGACTTGATTATGTTTCTCACCACAGCACCATCAGTGGAGGTCTTCCAGCCATCTCATACTAATCATTTCAGTGCAGTGAGACAGCTACAAAAGTGAGTGTAGCTCATACCTTAAGTTAAATGACAGAAATTAGATTCCTCTGACAGTTTCTTATGGAAAAATTACACTCCGTCTTCTGATTGAATTTAGACCAACTGGCAGTTCTTTTCCTCAGTATTCTCACAGTCTTCATAGCTCAAGAGTGGACGCACCTGACAAATGACAAAACTGTAGCTCGACGGAAGAGCAAACACAGCTGGTTCAGACCAAGTGGGACCATAAGGAAGTTTCGAGCGAGACTCAGCATCTGGCTACCACTTTCAAAATATGATAAGTACGATTATGCTTAATAAGAAAGCTGCTGCTCTTCACATGGTTAAATGAATCTTATCTCGGGTATATTAATTCACAAATTTTTCTATGTATGGGCAGGTCGAATCAGATCCAGGAACCAGCTCTGAGAGGAAGGACCAATTTACGAGCCATGAAAAACCGTTTCACCAACCGCACAAGTTCCTACAACATCAAGAATCCAGTGGGAGAGCTTTTTACGTACTCACCCAGTGGAAAGGTTGGTACTGTTGCTCCACAGTTGTGATAGACTGGAGTAATTGAGCCCATGAAATCTGTATACATAAATTGGCAATGTTTCTGTACATCTGTTAATGAAATAGACCCACCTTGTCATCTCTCTATATCATAGGAGAGATACCACAACAATACTGCCAATAGTACCATCAGTATCCAAAGATAGGACTCTTTTCTAAGTCTAAGAACCACCAAAATACCTTTTTGGTCAAACTGACCATTTCTGGCACCAGTCTCATGGACATCATACTATGTTGTCCATTTAGGTTGCCAATCAGAGAGGAATCACTTCTCCATAGCAGTCATATAAAAGATAACCCAGTGTTTGTAAAATCTCACCTGCATATGCGATAGACCTCTAATATAATTATAAAAGATAAAAAAACAGAAATACTTCAAATATAGGTATCACTAACATATCTAACCTAACCTTTACATTGTTCCACATCTATTTAAAGACAGTTGATGAAAATACATTTCTTAACATGATGTATTTTTCTGGGTTTTTTTCTGTTGTTTTTTTTTGGCTTGCTGAGCTTGCCATGTTTACCTTATGATGTCTTTTTGATTAATGACAGTGTTGGATTTGATTTATGTTGCTTCTGCTGCAGAAGGTGATGGTCTCAGCCGTCAAAACATCAGCACAGCTGAGCACCAAACAACTTGTAGAGCTGCTGTTCAGCAATCAGGCCCTCGGACACTGTAGGAGCACACCAACTCTGCAGCATGGCTTCTTGGTACAGGTAAAGAAGGCTGCCCTGATAGCATGGTGAGCTCATCTAATTATTATGTGCTGTAAAAGTGACCCAAGCAGCTGTGCAACAAGAGCCATAAACCGAGGTTTTCCTGTAGCTTTTGCAGGATATCATTCATAGAACAAATAAAAGTGATGTTAAGAAAAAACTATTTCCTGGATTAATCCAACATAACTGTCATAAACATCGAGCTCATGGAGACAAACATTTCAAAATGTTTTTTTGCTGAATGTTGTGGCTGCTGTTATGGCTTCGATGGCAGAATTCCAGCAAATTTCAATATTTGTTTGTTATTATGTACGCAGATAATGAGATATGCTGAGCAGAGAATTCCAACCCTGAATGAATATTGTGCTGTTTGTGATGAACGCCATGTCTTTCAAAACGGACCCATGCTTAAGGTACAAGCCATTAAAAAGTCAGCTGGTTGTGTAGACGCTCTTCAATGGAAACTATAAATGTGGATATAGCTTAATACCCTCTGATTTTGTGGGATTATAGCCAGCGGTTTGCACCAGGGAGCTGTGTGTGTTCTCCTTCAACGTGTTGGGCGTCATGTCTGGAGCCACTGAGGAGGTTGCAACCGGTGCAGAGGTCAGGAGCTTTTTCCCACCTTGTCTTAGTGATGACAGGGTAAAGTTTTGTGTTTCAGTAGTTTTGTTCTTGCAGGTGATTGACCTTCTGGTAGCCATGTGCAGAGCCGCTCTGCAGTCTTCACGCAAAAACATTATTTTTGAACCATATCCCTGCATTGTTGATCCATCCAACCCAAAAGCAATGGCTTTCAGTCCCAAGGTATCAGTTGTGACTGGCCTGATTTCTGATGGACAATTCAGTGTTTTCTCTTTTTTTTGTATGGGTCAATTGTTTTGTTTTTTAAATATATATGTATATTTACAGAGAAGGAGCTATGACAGGCTGCAAAGAGCATTGAATGGAGTCTTGTTAGTCAGGAGAATGACTCAGGTGAGTGATTAAAAAAAAACCTTGATTATATTCAAAATTTATTTTCAGTGTGATTGTGCTGTACTAGAATAAATATAAAGCTGGTGGTTCTATAGCAGCTGCACTGATCAGATTATGTTATTTAATTTGTCACATACAGGGTCCATATTCTGAGACAAAAAAGCAGATGGACAAGATAGACCCTCTAGCACATCCGTTACTACAATGGTATGGGTCAGAATCTAAACTGGCATTTTCTTTGTATTATGTAATATTATTTATATAAGATTACTCTCCAGTCAATATGTATTTTAATTAATGTATTGACATGTGTTTATATATCTCATAACAGGATTATAGCCAGTAACAGATCACACATCATCAAACTTCCTCTAAAGAAGGTATGTTGGGCATCTTAAAACTGATTATTATGAAATCTGTGGTTTAGGCTCAAACCAGCAAAGCTGCTGGAGCCCACTTTGTGGTTGATCCTATTCTCTGTTTGGTCTCATCTCTCCCAACAGTAATTTTACAGCAAAAAACAGGTGACATAAATGTCCCAAATACACTCAAATGTGGACATTGGGACAGATTATAAGCGATGTTTTATAAATCATGCTGTTGTTTATTCAATTTACTCATTTGCTGCTTGACCATGAATTTGCATTGTCTGTTTATCAACAGCAACTGAAGTTCATGCACACACCCCATCAGTTCCTACTGATCAGCAGCCCTCCATCCAAAGAGGCACGCTTTCAAAGTGCCAGGAAACTTTATGGCAGCACTTTTGCCTTCCAGTGAGTCTAACCAAAGAAAATTTTCAAATCACAATTCATATTATGGTCTGCTCTATACCATATACTCTTCTCTTCTTTCAGTGGCTCCCACATTGAAAACTGGCATTCCATTTTAAGAAAAGGCTTAATTAATGCATCTTATACAAAATTGCAGGTATAATCTTGAAACATGAAAGCCTTTGCAATTTTTTTTTTCTGCCATCAACTGAATTTTGATTATGTTGTTCTATTTAAGCTCCATGGTGCTGCATATGGAAAAGGCATCTATCTAAGTCCCATTTCAAGCATTTCATTTGGATATTCTGGTGAGAATACACCTTCACTCACTTTATGTGACACAGTACAATCCCCTGGCTGGTGACCAGTGCTTATGGACTTTTTTCTTGTTTTTTAAGAGATGGGTAAAGGTCAGTACCACATGCCAACCAAAGAAGAGCTCATCGAGAAATACAACAGAGTGAACGAATTCAAACAGGTCAGAAATCTTTCATTTTCATCTCAGATTGTCATGTTTGAGTCAACATGGTGCAAAAATACACTCACTTGTAGGTAAGTCTGTCCTCTCTCATTTGTTTAGGAACCGCAGGGACATACCAGATTTCTGCAAAGCCATAACCTAAATTGTGTTGCCCTCTGTGAAGGTGAAGTTTAAACAGTAGTGTCACAAATTATATCAATTTAATGTAAAAAGTTACGCTTTACAGAGTCGTCTGTGTTCATAGTGATAACCTCAAAAGATCTCCAGAAACATGGGAAAATTTGGGTGTGTCCTGTATCCGACCATGTCTGCACACGCTTCCTCTTTGTGTGAGTAAAACATAGAAGAAACATAAAGATCCCATTTCGTTCAGCCTCCCCTTTTGATAAAAAAAAAATCCTGAATATTTTGTAGATTTCTGTAATATTCTGCTTTGGTCTGAAACAGGTATGAAAATGGTCAGGTGGGAGACATGCACATTGACACTCAGGAAGAGGAAATCCAAAAGGAAATCTTACAAGTAATTGGTTCCTGCTGAAACAACCAAAGTACACAAACACCTCTTTTTGATATTTAATGTAAATCATCATTAGCTCATCATGCTTTTTAATTGTTGTACATTTTGAATAAATTATTTCAACAGACTTAGATGTTTTTCTTAACTTATTTGCCCCAAGTGTCCTCTGCCTTGATCATCTATGCTATACAGGTGCTCTGCCACAAGATGTGACTGGAGCTTTCATTATAAACAGAGAGTTAGTGAGGCTGTTGAATATTATAACAATCAAACAGAATATCTTTGAGATGGACAACGCTAGGTGTTCACTTTAGGTAATAAAGTCCCTACCTGCACAACACACACACACAGGCAGGAGCAAATCAAATTCTCCTGTCTCATATACCAGATGTGTCATCGAAGTCAGACACAAATCCAGTCATGTGACTAAACAAACTAATGTTGCATATTTAGAGCATATGCAGATATTTCAGTCTTTAGAAATGTCATGGGGGCATTTCAACCAATAGATAGCGGGTATTTTATGGGTGCTAGATACCTGAGAGCTAAATATAATTACTCGGAACTGTTCAAACACAACGGAGGGCCACATGTGTGTGCTCATTGTCTTATTCTGTGAATAACCTGGAGTGCAAACCCTCCTGTGAGGCAGAAATTCACCATTATAACAGCGTACTGGGTCCATATGAGCCCTGCAGCTGCCTCCTGACCTCATCCCTTGGATGTGCTTTATAATAGACAACCTAGCTCTTATCCATCTCAGTAGTCTGATGTCTGACTTTTTTCATGTTCTGTTGTTGTTTTTTTTAGGTTTTATGGATATTTAAAGGAAAACTTAGTTGTTGCCTCTTCAAGGTGTGATTGTTCTTGTATATTTCATCCACTCAAAAGAGGCATAAGTGATGTGAGAAATTTCTGGGTCAGCCCAGCAGGCGATGGACTAAAGGGAAGAGAACTGTGAAGTTGCCGTTATAGCCCAAAGGAAGACAATTTGCTGCGACCATATGGCCCTCTGATGATAGTACGGGAGAAAGATTGTGTTGAAAACCACCACCTTTTAAGCATCTATATCTCTCTGTTCCTTTACTCCAGTGAAATTGTTGTTTGGTGCAATATCTGCAAAACCACACATTAAGAATATGAAAATATATCAATCAAATGAAAAAAAATCAGTGAGCAAAACAATCACTTCAACTGCATGCTTTGTTGAATCTCATTAACTCATATCTACTCAACCATATAACTCAAGCAACCACACAAATAAAAAGATCTGAGCCCTGAAGCATTATGCGAAAAAAAAAGAAGGAAAAAACAGTTACATTATAGACTTTATCAAATGAGGCAAAAATGCTGCATGTGCCTTTAAGAGCACAATGTCCCACTCTACATGTCTGTTTCTAAGCCTGGTATGTTTGTTAGGATCAGCTGTCTTCAGCGCTGAAAAGAGCAAAAACACATTGTCCTTCGTATTAATGGGATTAGAAGAAAAAATATCCTCCTCATCTCAATGCTTGGAAGACAAGATGGAATGCAACATGGACAAATGACACCTAGAAGTTCAAGATAAGTCACAAGTTTGGATTACAAAGCTGGTTATCTTTAATGTATTAATTTATTTATTTTTACACTAATTCAACAATGGGCATTCTACAGATCTCATAGGAGATGAATGAATAAGCCGAGGCTGCAGCCTTGGAAACAGCAGCCAGAACTGTTCTTTGCTTCGTTTTCTTGGCAACTCTTTCACAGAAAAGGCACTAAGGTGTCTGAATACTGCTCACAGTTCTGCAATGGAATCTCAGCCCGCTTCATCACCACAACTTGGCCAGGGCAATTTCAGAAGGCTTAGCCGCGTGGAGGACAACAGTCCCTATCCAATCCCTGGCCTTGCAGCAGATATCCTGCACATGCGAGTTAAAGAGGGAAGCAAGATTCGCAATGTACTGCGGTTTGCCACTGCTCGCATGCAAGGGGAAGAAGGAGACAGCAACGGGACATCCCTGAGACAGGTGGTCTTCACTGGCTCAGGCAGAGGAGTCACCAAGACCATCACCTGTGTGGAGATCCTGAAGCGTACGGTGACAGGGCTGCATCAGCTGTCCAAACTCTACTACAAGAGAGTGACTGAGGTTTGGGAGAGTCCACAGCAGGGAGCCCCAGGTATAACAATGGAGAGAACAGTCCCCGCCATCTGCATCCTGCTCTCCAAAGACCCTCTGGACCCCCGAGAGCCCGGCTATCAGCCACCACAAGCCCTCCGTGTTTCCACAGAGGAAGCAGAGAGATGTGGAGAACTGCGGAGAACATCTGGGAGTCCCTCTTCACAGCATGCGGCCAAGAGGCTCCGTCTGGATGATTGGACTGTTTGTCCTCCCTGAACCTCTGCAGTCCTGCAAGATGTACAAATATCCAAACGCTCAAGCTTACTTTTGTATCTAAAGATGAAAACATGCATGTGCAGTATTCTGGTAAATGCACTAATCTGAAGTAGTGGGTCAAATAATGTAATTTGCAGTACTTTGTATATTTGCAATGGCAATTAACATATGTAAATAATCTAAGCAACTACTTTAGTTGTGAGTGTAAGATCTTTGCTTTTATTCATTAACCAGAGCAACCTATAAAGTTCAATTAACTTACTTAACAAGGCAGTATTACTTTAAATAACGTCACTCAATAAAATAAAAAACTGAACTATTCAACTTTAGCATTGTATTGTATGAAAAGCAGTATAAACACAAAGTGAATACTATCAGAAAGAGAGAGAGCGTTGGAATATCTACACCTGACCTTTTGCAAAAAAAATATTTCTCATGTAACTCTGAGTGCCAGGGCATTGGATAACTTTACTTTAATTGTTTAGTTTTCAAAGAAACATGCTAGATGGTTGCCTGATTGCAATCCCTGGCCTGATTGCATTTTGATTTCAGTTTAAGACTAGAGCATCAAAAACCTTTAAAGGAGCTAAATCCGATCATTAGGAGTATTGATCATTTCAAATCCCAAATATACTCACTATGGGTGAATGGGATTTTTAAATGGCATGTTCTAGAATAGCAGCGAACTTTGATCCATTTACTTGGCAATAAATATGACAGTATTTAGTGTAACAAAGAAAAAAATGTAATATGTATTGTTAACTGCAACAGCAAAGCTCCATAGATTATAGAATAGCACCTTCATCACAAAATGACATGGTCTTGTGACCATATATGGTGGCTGTCTTGAGAGTGATACTCAAACAACGGCAGTTTTGTTTTAGTATACTAACAACCAAATCGCCTGGCAACCATAGGTCTATGTTACACTAAAATAGCTAAATGTGGTGCGTTTTTCTTCTGTCTGGCAAATTATAATATTACGTCCACAAAGTGTATTAAGGTCAAGGATGAACAAACTGCAGTTTGCACATGCGCAGAAAGGCACCACGTACGTGCTGGGCTCTCCCAGTAAGCTCGAGCCTTCTCCTGACACATCTCACCGGTTAGTGTGTGCCGTTTGTCCAGCAAAATGTTCAGAGCCGCCGTCCGACTCTCGGTCTCCGGTGTCCGGAGCCTAACCCGAACACAACCAAGATGTCAAGGTATTTGCTAATATGTTTCTTTCCTCTGACTAGTATTTAATAAAAATACCGTTGCCTCAGACATGGCCAGGACTAAGTTCTTGCGGAAATCAAGTGTCTGTCGGCACATTGCGGTCTCCTATCGGCTAAGCTAGTTAGCTCATAATGGGTTAGCTAGCATAACAATCACATTTAAAACCCACGGAGTAAGTAAAGGGGGTCATGCTTCAGTCAAATATTGAATGTTTTCGTTTAATATAGCCATTTTCCCGATAACCAGAGCTCATGCTTTTGTAAGAACCCCTCAGCGATGGTTGTGTCCTTGCCATGACCCATATGGAAGGTCTGCGTTGAGGCCTTGTGATTGAGCTGTTGGTGCTACTAGATACCATGCTAACTGAGTTATTAGTTTTCAATTTGTCGCTATATGATGACTATCACCTTGTCTTAAACGCTCAGAAAATGCCTATCATTGGGCGTAACTGTGTTATTTAAGACTGTCTGTACAATGTTCTCTGTTTGACATTAAGATGATTTACTTTAGCTTTAAGTATGGTAAACGGAAGTTAATATCTTATCGGCTGAGGCATTGTGTATGGAGGTGCTACGTGCAGGATCATCATGACGGGATGATGGCAGTGATCCAGCGGAGTTGACGTTACAGCATACGTGTAAAGATATAACATTGACTGCCTGCCCAGGGGACTTTAAGATTACACAACACTGGATGCCTCTGAGGATGCCTTATTTTATTGGGACAGTGAGGTGAAAGTATCCTGTTTTATTGTGCAGCTCTCTTGGCCTCAAGGTGTTACTCACATGGGAAGCAGGAGACTGATGAGGAGTTTGATGCCCGCTGGATCACTTATTTCAACAAGCCAGACATTGATGCGTGGGAGCTGAGGAAAGGTGAGTAATGATGGTTACGCTGAATTCCTAAGATCCAATGGCTGTGAGGCCTTTAAAAAGAACAGTCTTGTGATGAAGGGTTTAGATTTATCACTCCTTTGCTACATGTGTAACAGCATGTGTTACAAATTTAATTTGAGAAATATCTAATTTTAGTATAGCTAAAGAGAAAAGAAACTCACTGTAATTTTTTATTTAGTTGTCCTTATTCGGAGGTAAAACACATAACGAGTGACAGTTTGGTAAAGTTCAAGTGTTGTGAAAATGACTTTCAAGGGAGTGAGCTGGAAGTATTCCAGTCACATACTCTACAGTTGCTCATCGTTGAACTTTGATTTCATGATCTTACACCCAAACATGAGGTGTACCTTATTTCCATCTTGCATAAGTATGTAAATTCTGTTTAAGATAACATTCAGGGATTCATTCATAAATACAAAGTGGAGAGAGGAAAAGATCACATTTTTATTCAGTTACTTTGGAGATGTGCTCTGTCAGGCTGTCCCTGATTAAAAATCCGCTCTTATTCAGCCAGTAGTTGCAGGTTAAAATAAAATTTGATAAGATTTTACAATTGGGTGTACTCAGGATTTCCCACACAAATCCTAGCTGCATGAAGCTCTTTGACTCAGCCCTAAACTTCACATGGGTACAGCTCCTCTCATGGACTGATTTCTGGACAGTTAAATGTTCCTCAGCTAGTTTTCAAACTCCCTTTTAAGACCTTTTTGCTTATTTAAAAAAAAAAGGCCCCTAAAAATGTTGAAATATTTTGGACAAACAGTGACACAAGGTGCCTGTGAGGGAGAGGCTCATGTATTCTGTTGCTTCTGATGTCATGACACACAATGATATTGAACACAAGCATGTACTGTAAGGTCATGGCAATGCTCCAACTCCTCCCCACCCCACAACCAACCAACCAATCACAATTACACCGACTGGCTTTCTTTTTTTAATGTTGGGCTAAACGTTGTCATCTGTTTGGACGCAGTCCCAGTGATATAAAAGGTGTCAGATCAACACTATCTTCACCTTTCGCTGGACTCCAGTCAGATTTACTCAGGTATTTGTAACTTAAGCATCACAAAGAACAGTTTCATTTTCAGACAGAACACTCTTTAAAAGTAAAAAAAAACAAAAAAAAAACAAGGGACTCAGTGGCAGCACATAAAGGGACACAAGCTCAGAAAAGCCTGCTGTGGCCTCATTAATGAAACAAAAGGATGTGACTCTTGGTAATTGCATACTCCATTTTCAGAGAGGTGTGGTAGAGGGATAAGATGCGGTTTATCTGGTTCTGACTGCAATGAAAAAGGAGATCACACCCAATCCCGTTTTTGCATTGGGTTTGGGGCTTTTAGAGGAAATTTAATGTAATCTATGTGTATGTATTGTCTGTACAAATAAAGTATTGAATCAAATTTTCCCAGGAATGAACACGTTGATTGGCTATGACCTGGTACCTGAGCCAAAGATTCTTGAGGCTGCACTGAGAGCCTGCCGGAGATTAGACGACCTGGCCAGCGCAGTCCGAATTTTGGAAGCTGTGAAGGTGAGAAAGAAGGCTCTTTGGGGAATATTACTGGCCACCATCCTTCACCACTCGTAGTCATCAAGACACGATTGTCCTACCACTTATTTCCTCAGGACAAAGCCGGGCCTCACAAAGATATCTACCCATACCTGATCCAGGAGCTGCGACCAACACTAGACGAGCTCGGCATTTCTACACCTGAAGAACTTGGCATTGACAAAGTGTAGAGGAGTAAGCAGTGTGCTTTTCAATCAGCCATGTTTTTCTTCCCAGAGCTGTTTAATCAGACAGGGGTGTATAACGGGTGTTTTTTGTTTTTCAGGTCAAATGGCAGGGGAAATCCCCAGGACACAGAACCCTTGTATTTAAATGTTTGCCTCATCAAATGCGCGTGCTATTTAATTTGGCCTTTATTAAGTTGTTTTACTTGTAAAATATGGATGAACATAATAAAGGAAATGTATCTTTGAGTGTCACAAGTATAAAGGACTATTTTCTTGACAGCTAGAGGACTTTTTGAAGCAATGCTACAGGATCACCAGGTCACTGTCTAATTCCTGTGTTTGTGAAGCTTTTTGTGTGTATTGCCACCAGGGAGCAGCACTGTCTCATGGATGTAATATGCATTCTACTGTAATGAGTGCACATTTCATTATGTTTTTATTTCAATTCATTTCAGGGAAAATTTACTGGATGGTTAAATGCATTTGTTCAAATGGTAGCTGGTTTTATAATCATGAACTCGGGATATTAAATGGGCCTTTAATCGCCATTTAGATGCCAGTCAAAGCTCAGATAAAACACCCTAATAATTAAGCTGTCTGAATATATTTATAAGTGAAGCCAAAAGCTTCTGCATGACCTTTTTAAATAGACAAGTATACATGTGTACATAATATCCAAGTGATATGTTGGGAGGTCACACACAATAAAATCATGGCTACACTGTTGCTAAATGTAAAGAATTATTTCCAAAATAAATGAAGCGTTTGATCTGTGTCCAAACAGTGTTTTAGAAGGCATGCTGATCTTTAATAGTTTGATGAAGTAAAAGTAAGAGCAGCATCTCAGCAGCTGTCGCCGCTAGAGGGGGTTCTGTGTTAGGCTTTTAGCTGTTTGGATTTTAGAGTTGTCCTGGATGAATCGGTGTCAGTCAGGGCTGCAGAATGATTTCCAACAGGGTAAAACCTCATTGTTCTCGGTTTGGAATACAAACAATACTGACCATTTCCAGTGTGTGTGTGTGTTTACTGTTTCCTTCAAATCCACGAATGCTCATTTTGACTGCTGGACGAGTAGTGCTGTATCCTGTAATCAGTCATGTCATGTCAATAGCATCTTCCTAGGGCTTTATTTAGACTGGTGGGAGGAACCATAGGCACTTATTCCCAGACAAGCAGACGTATCACACGGAGTCTGTTTCAGCCATGAATAGAAACACTTAAATGCCGGGGTTTCAAGCCATATTTACGAGTTTCATTCTGGCTCATTGCCTGCTTCTTTCTTATGCTTTGTGAACTAAATGATGATTCTTACATAACCATATATCGGGTTATTTTAAATAAAAGTCTATGATTACAACACCTACTTTTAGACGTTGTTGCCATCCTGAGAACAGCAATAAATTCTGCATTGTGTAAAGAATATATTGAGAACCGTTGATCGGGGAAAATATACCATCCTTCGGAACAATTACAAATGTTCCCTTTTTTTCTGGGAGGAATGCACTAATAGAACAAATTTTCCTTTGTAATTGTGGAGTATTATCTTACTTACAAATCGAAGTCATGTTCGAACATGCGTAAAATAACAGACTGTGCTCTGAGGTGGTATTTCCTACTGAAGGAGGGGTGGAGGTGGGGGACAGAGAAATAAACACTACGATTTTTACGCACGGGGCGGGCCTTTCATTCACCCAAGTTGTGGGTGAGGGGGTCACCCAGTCAAAGAGCATCAAAGATGTTTGAGTTTCCATGCGCAGTGACCAGGCAGCGAGCGCACAGCACCATTACCCCTCCTCCAGCTCCGGTCGCCCAGGCCTCCACACTGCAGGGGTTTAAAAACCACATCCGATCAAAGGAAGGATCACTAAAAAAGAGAATCTGGTCATACGATGCGATTTACTTCTGCCGGAGCTAAAGAAACTAGATAAGACCTGTTGGCGATGATGAATTATCCCAAGGCGCAAATGGTGAGTGTCGACGGCTCTTTTGGTGGCGCTTCCACTCGGTGTTTGTTACTGTAACAAAGCCACCAACGATCATGTGGACATTACTGCGAGCAGACGCACGTTTACCAGGAGGTTGTTTGTGTTTACCGATGAGAATGATGGGGTTTCCTAACGCGTTTGATTTGGGCTTTGTGTGTCTTTGTATTTTGTTATGTGGAGCAAAGTTCATTTCAATTAATACATCAGAGGAAGTTCAGCCGTGAAATAACCCGGTGTTTAGTTTTCCAGATGAGTTGCTGTTGACGAAGTTAGACCACAGAAAGACTGATATTCTCTAAAATACGCCCTGAGTGATATCATCTCCTTTGTTTATTGCCTCAACTGGTCAGACTTTGTTCACAGAAATCCACCTTAAGTGCACTTAGAAGGGGCCAACAGGCAGTGGCATTTGAAAAAGAGAATCATACTTTGTTTGGATCCAAAACAAACATAATATTGTCTAACATGCTTTGTATTTAGAGAACTTTATAATTGATGATATCTCTTGATAATCGAGAACTTTTTGGAGTTTGATGAAAGTATATATCATACGTCTCTTTTAGCTCCTCTGCATTGGTTAAATGAAGGTTCAGATGCTTCTCATTTTGGATGGTTGAGCCTAATGTTAGTGAAGTAAGACATTGAGAACTGATTTTGAACTTTTGCCCACAGTCCAGCTTATCGGAGGAAGGGAGTTCAGCGGGATGCCCACAGCCCAGTCCTGCCGGGATGAAGCTGGAGGCTCTGATGGAGCAGCTACAAAGACAGCAAGAAGCCAAGCTGGGGATGAACCTGCAGGAGAAACACATCCTTCAAGCTCAGCTCCTGTTTGCTCAACAAGCCGCGGCGGCCCGAGCCGCCGGCTCCAGGCCAGATTACGCATTATTTGCGAAAGCGGATGGAAAAATGTATCAAGCTGCCCAACAAGACTTTAGCGACAGTTTGAGCCGAATGGGTCCAAACAAGGAGGAACAGCTGGATGAAGACGAACAGGGGATGTTGGACCAAGAAGAGGAGGAGGAGGATGATGAAGAGCAGCAGGAAGATGAGAATGGATCCACTCGACAGGGGAAGAAGCTGCACGTCCAACAGGTTTCCCACTTCCAGCCGTTTTCTGCACGCCTGTCAGCTCCCGTGGAGCAAATGTCTGGGTCTCCATCCTCAGCGATAAAGCAGGAGCAGGAGGAGAAGAACCTGTCTCCGTCCTCTGGGAGTCAGCAGGCTTTCACGTCCCCCAACGGCTTTTCTGACTGGGGCTATGAGGAGCCCTTCAAACAGGTGGGTTATTTCACATTTCAGTCTTAGAGAATGCCAGTGAACTTCATAATAAATGCAGATAGCTCTTTACATTTCCGGCTCTTTCCGGTTTCGATGGTGTCGAAACAGAAAAAAAAAAACTAAACGGGAACATCTTTAACCCCTTTTTTGGCTTGTGTATGTTTTGTCACTCATTGTTAATTGACTTCCTTTACTGAGAGTCAGCCCGCTGTCTGCTTCACCGCCTGTTTTCTCACACAGACCATGTGGCTTTGGCAACATGCCCATGTTCTGATGCGTTTAATTGCCGGCCAGGTCAGAAATCTTGGGCCATTCTTTACCTCATTTACCAAGCCTTTGAAAAAAATCTGTTCGTCACAGACGTGGCTAATTGTTCCCTGGCTCTAGTCCAGATCAGACTGTGCAAAGGATCTGCTTCAGGTCAGCGGAGATGGAGCTGAAATGAGAGCAGAGGATTAATGAAATAGCCTAAGGTGTGTATTTATGGACGAGGCTGGGCTTGGAGGTTAACTGCTGTAAGCCTGTATCAACCAGATCTCCTTAAAATAAAATGAAATGACAGGCACAAAGGCATTGTTTATTGCTGTTATTCCCAGCAAACATCTTTGAAGAAAGAAGGCTCCCCTATGGCTTTCTTCTCCGCCCTTTATGGTGGCCTACCTCATTGCTTCTTCTTTGTATATTCCCCTTATAAAAGCCCATGTCAATATAATACATTATGATTAATGAGGGCTGTGGGTGGAGGGACAGCTGGGCCAGTGCCTCACAGCATGCAAACAGCTACTCGTAAAGTTTACTTGCAGGAGTTTCACTGGAGCAGAATGAGCTTTTGGTATGGGGCTGGGGGGGGGGGGGGGGTTATGCACCTCTTGTTCTTTTTATTGAAATAAATCTTTAGAATTCCTTTAACTTTTCGTCCATAATGTTGCCTGAAAACCACAATTAAACCGTCCAATCCCTAAATGAGTCGTTAACATTACGCGAGCATGTCGGCGCTGACCTTACTGTACCTCAGTGGATAGCTTTGCATAATTTAGCCGTTGCTCAGCAACACTTAATGGCACCTTAATTCCTCTGCTCGCAATCAATACGTTATATGGCTGCTGCAGTGAGAATGTGTTTACTTTTCACAGGCCACCTCACCCAACCGGGAACATCTATCATTTCTGATTAGAGCTGCAAATTCTTAGGCTGTTGTGAATACAGCTCTCAAACGTGTGTGTGAGAGACTTTTTTTTTTTTTTTTTTTAATCACCGAAAGCTCAAGGCACATCTTGCTGCCTGGTCATGAGAATAAAAGGCAAATGAGGCATTTGTGTAGCCCATTGAGGTTAGGTTTTGTGCCTGCTTTGCTGCGGTTAGATTAACAGCACACAGAATAGTTTCACCGTGGAAATGCTGGCGTGAAGTTGAGCCAAAAACCTCTGAATGGTTACTTTTACAACAGTAACTCAATTCAATACACATACTGATAGCCAAACTGAAATATTACATGTATACTTAGTTTTGCGAGTAAAAGTGTTGCCATTTGTCATTTTTTAAACGGGGGTGGTGGAGGGCTGGGGCCTTTCATTGTTATTGCACTTTTTATTTTTTGCACATTTCAAAGATCCCTTGGAACACGTCCGCTCATTTCAGGGTAACTGGTGGCAGGCAGAAATGGTGGATCCTAATTGTTCCATCCTCAGCAGCGTCTTTGGCGTTTTCTTTTGTTCGGTTCATTAATGAGTCATCCTTAGAGATTTTGACATGCTTTTCAAGCCCCATCATGCTGCGTGGCTATTGTTCAGGGCTTGTGTGCGATCTCACTGGAAGCCTTTAAATGTGGTAAGGGGCCCCGGTTTATCCAGGCTAACAGCACAGCATGGGGCTAGATCATTTATACTGACTTGCTTGGATGATAAAAGGCCCTATAATTTGATTTAGATTAAAATTTTGATTCCCCCCCGTGACTTGCTTTGAAAAGGGTGAAATTTGCACTTTTGCCTCACGCTAGAGCAAGCAAAGGATTTTAATGAAGCTCGTTTTAAGTGGAAACCGGTCATTGATAGCATTTGATTTTTTTAAAAGAAATTTTTCATTCCATCTTTCATCATGGATGAATGAAGAGGAAAACCTCTGTAGTATTCCGTTTAGCTTAAATGGATTACCCTGATAACGTGTAATTTAAATATATAGAAAGCCACACAATAAAAAAAGGTAACCTTTTTAACAAAACAAAAGGAACCTTTTCCTGACCTACATACTGAATACTATCAGGATTCCCAGGCCAGGATATGTGAAAGCTCTGTGAGCAGTTAACTGAAAGCTCTTTGTTAATAGATCCACAGTGGGTCTCACTTGCTCATCAATAAGGGGGGGAGGGTTTTATTTCGATTTGATGGTGGGACTGACTGGGATGTTTATCATCCCTCAATGGGCTTTCTGCTGGAAAAGCAGGAGTCCTTTATTAGAAATTCCAAGCCGAGGCAGTAAGTTGTGCCAACAGCTTTGCATCTATAGGGGCATGTTTTGTATGTAGATAACACAGTTGACAGTTTATCCTGTTTAACCAGTAAAGACCTAGGATTATTTTATGTTATGAGAGTAGCAAATTTGCCTGCAAAATAGACGTCTGCACATAGATTAGGTGGGACTCTCCCAGTCTAACAAGAAAAGGAAGTACCACGTATGCATTATCACAGACTCGCATTCAGGAACATCCGAATAACATTACCTGTTACCTAGCCCTTTTGTGGTCACGGAGTCCTGTGTTTTTTACATGTTTATTATGGTTACATTGTCATTGATTTTATATGTGATATATTTTTGTATTTAGTAAAATAGTGTACAGCAGTTATCTTTTTCCAAAAGCTCAGATAATGGAGAAAAGCAGTTGGGTTCACACAACATGTAAAGTCGAATGATCTGAGTGGTGATGAAATGGAGAGGATATCCAATCTCAGTTATAGGAAGTGTTGGTGTTTTAAACACTACGACCCTATCTGCAGATTACATTGCAAAGAAAAAGATAATATACGACATTAAACAATAGTTTTCCATTCATTATTTATTTGTCAAACTATATTTCAGTCACCAAGTCTAACAAAATGTAACATCAGAGCAGTTTACAAAGAGAGCCCCCGAACAACAAGTGTTTATAGAGATAAATTTTACTCATTTTGAACAAAAACCTGCTGATTGTCAAGTAAGAATCCTGTGATTAAAATTGAGTTTTTGTGATAAATCACAACCTGGATTGTGGAAGCATTCCATCTAGTTAGATGTTGAGTCATATTTAGTTGAACATGCTTATTTAAATCCACAACATTATCATATAAAATACAAACATGAGTCATCCCCTGATCCCTAATAATCCACAAGCAGCAAACCTTTAAGGACAATTCAAAAGATGGAACAGACCTTCTCTAATCCCTGCATAAAGTTCTCTTACTGACAAAACTGGGGCAATGGGTGGACAGAAACGTAATCAAATGAACACATTTGTATAGAGAGCATTCTGTGTACCCTTCCAATCAGCTTTCATTTTCATGATAGCATCATCATGCAGTTTCGGAGCGCTTCTGAGACAATAACCTCTCAGCAGGCTTTTCTGCACAGTTGCACTCTGGACGTCATGCTGGTTGCCGGCTGGATGGGGGGTGTGATTGAGAAATAACATGTCACATTAACTAAATAAACTATATGGTTCATTTCATTAATCTCATTTGGACCCTTTCAGTTTTTCATGTTGTTTTTTGTTATAATATAATTTTTTCCACCTCATCGATCCAAATTTGATTGATATGCGGAAATCACAACTTTGTCTTTCACATTTTTTAAAAAGGTTTTCATGGTATTTCTTTGTTCTTCTATGACTCGTGTTCTTAAAAAAAGCCATTGTCACTTCTTGTCTCCTTGACTAGACGCATGTGCTACACGTCAAAGCTGAATGTTATAGTGTGTCATCAAGAGTAATTCAACCAGTCTGTAAAGAAAGAATAAACCTAAGTGAGTTGGTGTGATGCCTAAACCTAAACAAAACTACAAGTTACACTTTCTGTAAAAAACGTGACATTTAAAAGAAGAAAGGGGTGAAATCTTTACTCAGCATCGTGTTTATTTGGGTTCCTGATTCTAAATTTAAGGTGCACCTAATGGCTGATTTTTATATCAAGAGTGCCTAAAGTGATGACCATCACTAGAAAACTCAGGAACACTGGAAAAATAGGTGATTATGGCCATTTTCATATCATACATGCATTGGAATTGTCCAAACTGAGTTGTGCATTTGTCATGCAATATCAGGCTTTTAATACAGCAGGACTTAAATGCTGCCTTCCTGTGCCTTAATAATAAAAAAAAGATAAGATTTGAAACAAGTCAACCTTCAAAAAGAAACTTCCACTCAATTGAATTTTCTACAGGCTGACCTCAATCAGTGCCCAGAAATTCCTCAGAGGTGATCATGAGAGACGGGTGGCATCAGAGCATCAACGTCCAGTGTTTCAAGATAAAAACAACTCTGAAAACAAAGTCTGAACAGTATTTGTAATAAAAAAAAAGAGATCTGATTTAGCCAGTTAATTGTGTCTTCATTAAAACAGTATAAGGCTCTGAACCAATCTGAGCTTGAAGAAATATGCAAACCTCTGAGCTACACAGGCCTCCGGAAAGCTGCTTGAAGTCAGGTGTTCCAGTTAAGTAGACGAGATTGTGGCCCCTCTTTATAAATAAAGTTTGGTTAGCGACATTCTACTTCTCTCAAGAAAAGACTGTTTGAAGTAACACATGCCTTGAGAGCATCGGCTTCCGGGGGATCGTAGAACAAAAATTAAAGACCTTCACAATGCTGCAGAGGTTACAAAAAGATCTATGAAGAGCAAAGTGTTCAACACTCCTCAGAAAGACAAACTGTCTACAAATGGAGGCGGTTAAGGACAGTTGCGACCCTCCCTAAGAGTAGGCGTCCTGTAAAGATCAAACTAGGTGCACTATGTGCAGTCCTGAAATGGGGGAAAAACAACCCCAGGTAAAGCCCAAACCCCCCATGGTTTTTCTGTTTTAAATACATTTTCAAACATTTCTAAATGACTGTCTGTTTTGATTTTTTCCTGATAGTTTATGAAGAGTAGGGTCGCACATTTAAACAGTATTTGTTCAAATTGGCAGCATAGCAATGTAAAAAAAATAATCAAAGTGACATGACCATGTTACCATACAATGCAAACACAGGTTATGAAGGCCTAATTCTCGGATGGTTATGTGTTGGATAGTGTGTTTGGAGAAAAGGCAAACAAATCCAGAGTAACGGAATTCCTTTAAATATTTAGTTCACTTAGTAAATATTTTCTCTAAATAATACATCATCAGCATTTGAAGAAATAAGTCACGAAAAACATTTTTTCTGCAGCCTTTTAGAAATTAAGGTGTTTGTTTCCAAAGTGTTTACTCATGTCTTTGTGTGTCTGTGCAGAGAGGAAGTGGCATGTGGGCTGAGGAGAGTGACAGCGGAAAAATAAGAGGAGAGTCATCAAGGGACTTTGCAAAGGTTGGTAAATCTGGAGGATGTGAACGAAAAAGAATATGGTAACAGTTGACTGATGTTTATATTTGTCCCTGTCTTGCAGCTTTATGAGCTTGACAATGACCCACAACGGAAGGAATTTCTTGATGAACTCTTTGTCTTCATGCAAAAACGAGGTACGTGTTAGAAAAGTTTAGCTGAACGTTATTCACTCATTTCTTAGTTAGTTCTTTAGGGAATGATGTTATGGAAAAATGGAGATCCTGTGATGTCATGGCCTTTTTGAACGCCACCTTTTAAAAAATAAATAAATAAATAAAATTAAGCCTCTTTATGGAATAAGTAGTGGTTGGTCTGGTAACAGATACTATATAGAAGATTATATAAAAAAAATTAGATTGCATCTTCTGATTTTAGTAAATCGAAATGAACAATGTCTCCTTTTCAAATATGTGTATGATTGTAAATATTCTGAAAATCAATTGCATATTACATAGGAAATACATTTTTTAATGAGCTAACATAGCTCTTTTTACGACATATATGATATAAATACAATTTAAACCCATGAGTGTCTCTCCTGTAGACATCTATAAGCTTTTAGCATGGCACAATGAAAACAAGCTTCACGATAAACAGGGAGATGATCTTTGCTCAGTTCATGGCCTCAGAAAATGGGCACGTGTGTCCAAGGCATGTGTTCATCTTAAGCACGGAGTAATCTTATTTCTACGGCTGCTTCTCAGTCCCCTCCATTAATTGGCTTTTCTCCAAATCGGGATTGGACTGGTTAGCTGTCAGCCCTGTGACTGGCAGACATGCATGGCTCCAGCATCACCCCTCCCCCTGCACTCAAATCAATGCAGCAACAAAAGCTGCTGTTGTGGAATTATCCCCGCCCCCATCCATCTTAAATAAGCTTCATTGGACAACTCCATTCACACAGATTATACATGCTAAGCCACATTACCTAACATTGACCTACAGCCTTCCAGTGTGGTAATCAGAATAAATTATCATCTTTTACTTCCTTCTGGGTCTTCTCCTGATATAGGTAACCGACAGAACCACTTCTGGTCGTCAGATGTCTTCATCAGCCACTAGCACAGCTATAGATTGAGAGTATTGTTGTTTCCAGCTGAGTATAAGATATTTTCTGATCAAGACAATAACATAACACGTGCATAAGATTCTCTCTCCTACTTCAAGAAATCTTAGAAGACCCAGCTCTTCCGATAGTATCTCTTGTCCTGAAAGCTCTAAATGCTCTTATTTCCTGATAGAGTATAGCACTCCAACTATGGTACTTGTGTCATCTGTGTTATAATTGAATGGTAAATCCTTAATGTTGAACTATCTTCTACCATACTGCACTCTTGGTAAGTTAATTGTATAACTTGTGTTGTAGTTGAATGTTAAACCCTCTTTTTGTAGGTCGCTATGGATAAGAGCGTCTGCTAAATGCGTAAATGTAAATGGTCAGTCTTAACATTGCATTTTCCCCCCCGTTATTCATCCAGGGACTCCTGTAAACCGCATCCCCATAATGGCGAAGCAGGTGCTGGACTTGTACAGGCTTTATAAGCTCGTCACAGACAAGGGAGGACTGGTGGAGGTCATTAAGAAGAAGATCTGGAGGGAGATCACCAAAGGCATGAATCTCCCCACGTCCATCACCAGTGCGGCTTTCACCCTGCGCACCCAGTAGGTCTTCACTATATTCCTAACACAGAAGTATGAACGATTTTAGCACCGACTATTTTTTTTGGGAACAGACAGATAACAAAGCTCATTAACTCAGTTACAATTAATGGCTGATTCTTGCCTACTTTGTTGATATAAACAGACGTCAAAGATATCAGAAATACTAGTGAAGTATCCTGAATGATCCTGAAATCACTTATGCTATTGTCTTGATTAGGAAATATAATCATTTTCACACTGAGATCTTTTACTCAGCTGGAAACAACAATGCTTTGAATCTAAAGGTGTGCTAGTAGCTACTGAACACATTCTAAATAACTAACTTCTAAGTAGAAGACTATTGTATGTTGAAAAAAAAAAGTGCAGTTTGATAGGTCCCACGAATACCCTACCGTTTTGCTTGAGTTAGCATCACCTAGTCCTGTGGGTGCATTTCCGGGACAGAAAGTCTGTGGAATTGTTCATTTAAGACTAAATGTTCTATAATCAGCACACATTTTCAGATTTTTCTTTTTCCAAAAGTTTTCTCACCAACTCCTACATGCATTTGTTTTCCTGGTAGGTACATGAAATATCTGTACCCATTCGAGTGTGAGAAGAAGGTCCTGAGCTCTCCAGGTGAGCTGCAGGCAGCAATCGACAGCAACCGCAGAGAGGGTCGACGTCCCAGCTACACCAACAGCCTTTACCGCTACTCCCCCTCCTCACATTCTGCTCCCCATGCTCTCATACCTTCAGCCTCCATGCACAGCACCAGAGCCACACAAAATGGCCTGAACACATCTGCCAGCCCAAGCCTGAAAAGAAATGCAGGTATGCAAGAGTTCCACTAAGGTTATTCATCTCACTTTTTGAGTTACGTCATAGTGCCTCATCACTGGGATGTGTTTGGATTTTATATATTTTTTAAAATCATGTTCCCTTCTGTTTTTGTGTTTTCTTATAATAAGATGAGGCTTCCACCCCAGTAATACCCAGAATTCCCCTTGGTCTTGCATTAGGGCAGCATCACCACCACCACCAGCAGCAGCAGCTGGCCGGAGCTGGCCAATTAGAGCAGCTCAGAGACCGGTTGGACCGTTCGGCGGGTGGAGCAGCAGCAGCCGACGGCCCAGAGAAGAAAATGATGCGACTCGCAGAGGAGCAGCAGCGCCTCATGCAGCAGGCCCTCCAGCAAAACCTTCTGGCCATGGCCTCCCACTTCAACCCCATGAACCTCAAACTTAACAATGGACATGGTACGTCTCTTCTACTGGAAAGAATCCTTATTACCAAGCGTTATGAGATAATTGTGTTAGTTACTGTGTACGTTTTTGTCTCACAGAGAGAAAACAGGATTTGTCTCTGAACATCTCTGCTAACGGCTCAGCAAGCATCAGTGTGTCTGTGGAGGTCAACGGTACGATTTACTCAGGTGTGTTCTCAACTTCCTAAAGACAAATCTACTATCACTTAAGATCATTACTTTCTAAAAAAGTTTCACATTGTAGTGTATGAAGTATAAACAATCATATTGGATGGCAAGCGATGGAATAGATGTTTCTTTCATAACTTTCCACTAGATCGGGGTAGGACATTATAGAAAATCCAAAAGGGGCAGGGTCTATGACAGGAAATTGACTTTGGAAAAGCAGGACAAAATAACTCGAGAAGCTTAACCAATTCTTATTGTAAAAAGGGACCATGACGTTACAAAGAAGTTTACGTTTTACTATTGCGACTATCTGGGTTTCATAAAGTTTGTAAAGAGATACAGTACAAGTAAAAGTAAATGTAGAAATGATCATTTTTGCATTTGCAGCTTTTTCACTTCAGATTTCAGCTTTGTAGACTTGGTAACAAACACTGGACTTCATAGTAGACAGTTTATACATGGGACTGACGTGGGAAACTTCTGCTTCTAATGTCACAGTTTTATCTCATGTAAACATGTAAAACCTCGTGTACAATACTCACATTGTGATGGAAACAGATTAATCAAATATCCTTATCTTTTCTGTGTTTTAGGCACACTGTACGCTCAAAAGGCATCTGCTCCCGTGTCGTCACAGACCGTAACCCCAGCAGGAACAAGTGGTTTCAGTGCTCTTTCCTCCTCGCACAGTCCCTCCTCCTCATCTTCCACATCGTCAAAGGGTCCAAATTAAGGCTTCTGAATTTGTGCAGAAAAAAAATAATTACATGTTTCACTTCACACGCCCCTTTGCTCTGATATGAACTGAATGATCTCCAGGCAAAATCGGCTGCAACACTGCGAGCCATCCAATTATTCTGATTTTTTTTTTTTTTAAGCCTTGTCTTTCTATAATTTCTCTGATGACACAATGTCTATAATAATAATTCCTGTCCAGAGGACATCAGTGCTTTTCTTCAGAGTTTCCATGACACCTAAAATGCAGGTTGAAATCAGTTTACAGTAGTGCCTGATAGTTTTTCACATAGCGGCATTCATGTGTAAGGGACTTAGCAAAGATCACTCAGAAGTGTCTTCACAGCAGAGACTTACACTGTGAAAATCAACCTCTTTGGTGTTAGCTACATTTCCAGCTATTCATCCAACCGTTCTGTAGCAGCTTTTGTGTAATTCTCCATAGAAGAATGTGGTTGCCAAAGTGCAGCTAATGAAGACCAAAAAGCCTTAGTCCCGTGTCATAGCTCCTTTCTGTTTCACATTTTGTATCCGTTTGTTTTCTTTGAACTTGAATGAAAACTCATAGTTCTACTTTCCATAGCAAATTTCAGGGAAAATGCATGCCATTACTTTTAACATAAATGTGTCATATCGTAAGAAAAAGTGTGCTTAGTTTGACTTTTTAAGCAGTTTTTGTAATTCAGTGATTTGTTCTGAAGTTTTCCTACATTTATTCTTTATCAGCTGTGAATCAAAGATGCAGTGAGAAAATGTTTATGCAGGGAACTATATATGTTTGAGTATATAGAACTAAAATGATACAACATTTACCTCAAATGACTTCCCAAGTTGGTAAGTTTCTCAGACTTATTCTTTATCTCATAATATATTGCTGTGTTATATTTGTATGAATGCAGAGAATGTATCGTTACTAACTTCGGCTTTGGGAGAATGAACACTGACACAGTGGTACATCACTCCACAAGAAATATGCAATGCTAAATGGAGCATGTTTTCATTTAACCATGTGCTGAAATAATTTGTATTTGGACAATCAAGTAGACATATCGTTGCAAACAAATGTCACTGTTAACATATCAACTTGGGGAAAAAACAACTGACATTCTGTGCTAGTCTTGGGTTAATATATTTCTGGGATATGTAGCCATGAAAAATAAAACAATCATGTGTGGTTTGGAACGTGCAGGGTGTTTGTTTTGAAGCCGTTCTTGTGGGAGAGGTTTTTCCACACGCACTACTCAAAGTACCTATGATCAATTTCATGTGTATGCTGAATTTCACTTGGAAATGTTTAATAACAAGAAACAAATTTATTTAATTAATTAATTTTTGTCCAAAACTACATAGAACACATGCAACAACAAAAAAAACTTAATGTGTGCTCATTAATGCCTTTATTTTATTTTGTATGCTATAAACACTATTGTTTAAAGCAATACAGGGCAGAGTATTAAAAAAGGGTCAGTTTTAATTCCTTCATCCTACAGATGTCAGCAGACGGAGCTAATGGAGGTATGGGATGGCTCATGGGCGTGGGGGATGGGTTCCTGGATTCACTGCCATGATAGTTTTCCTACAATGACAATAATATATTGTCATCTGGGACACTGCGAAATGTGAGAGAGGTATTATGTGCTCCATCTATGCCCACCCACAAGGGAGGAGCAACTGTGATCAAATCATTCTTCAAATCAGGGCATCACTGCTCTGTGTTGACAGCTAAAAATGTAATAAAGTGGATGGTTTGGATTGAGAGATTTCAAAGTTTCAACTGGAAAATGGATCTGCAGCTGGTAAAGGTTAACTTTCCTATAAACCAAATACTTGTAATTACATTTTTGGACATTATTTGATTATCAAGCTTGTTTTTTTATTGTTTTGTTTTTCTCTCATGTGAATTAGACTGTTATGTTTTATTCAGGCGAGCACACTTGTGCCCTTGCTATGTAAACAATGGTTTTTCGTTAATCTCCTGAAGGCTTTAGTCAGGGATCCAGGACTTAAAAGTGTATTTTCATAAATCAAAATGATCCTCTTTTAGTGAACCTTTGGAAATCTGCATTTGGTCATTTTGAAGTAGGGTCCGACAAACCCTCAGCTCATTGTTGACATTATGCCCTCCCATGACGAGGAGGACCCAGGCCAGCCTCTCTGGCAGTCCGTGCTGCTTTTCTGCTGCAAGGGCATGGTTGAAGGAATCGTCGTCATTCTTTTCCTGTGGCTCCTGTTGCAGGTCCTCTTCACCAAGCAGTTGGAAGGTATGGTTATTCACCTTTTTAAATGATTTAAGTGGACAAAACAGGCAATTGTAGTGAATGTTATCCACTTTCAAAGATCTGAAATATGTGGTTATATTTGACCTTTTAATCACAGTAGCTAGAAAAAAGATTTGATTTAAATGTCATTGTTTGACTTGCTTCACACTTGAGTCTGTTGCTCAGTGCTCCAGGTCACCAGATGAGAACCTTTCTTTTGTTCTAGCCTTTGACTTAGCCTTTTATTGCTTTAATTCAGTTTCCATTCTAATTATTGGCAGACATCCTAGCTTAATTATTTTTTTAGTCTTTCTGATGCTGTTTAACAAGTTTGCTTGATTTAAATGTGCAGTAGAAATCAAGAAACTTGTGTATGTATTTTCATAATGGTATCTTGTTCTGCCTCTGCTTCTGCTAGTGAGTCAGAACAATACAAGTATCTATTTCAATACAAGTAGAACATCGAAATGAGCCAGACACTGATACAATGTGTTATCAGAGCAGCATCATTTTTTTAGCTGAGTTCCTTACAAATTTACTGTGTTTTGTAAAACTCTTCCTTATAGTGTTACTGTGTCTGCAATAGGTACACACAAATACTTTTTTTTTAAAACAGAGAAAATTAATTTTGGGGATAGCTCTAACAGCTGAAGCCCCAGTTTATAATGCTTTTTTAAACAGATCAAGGATTTTCTCTCCCAGCTCCTTTTGAATCACATTAGAGTGAGATCTCTTTACAACCACTGCGGTCAGCAGGGATTACTTCAGCCACTATATTTATCTCCGGAACCTGTGTGACTTTAACATAGATTCTTTTTGGACAGATTTCAACATGTACTTGAAAAGTGGCAATAGCCAAATGTATTTGATATGATCCCATTTATTCTCTGCAGTTCATCTCCAGATTCTACTTCTGGTTGGACTCATTGTCTTTTGCCTGTCTTTGGTTCTGGGATGTATTGTGTGTTGGAGGAAGAGCGATATTTGTGCTGTGAAAGACAAAGCTCCCGTCACATCGGTACCGGCTTCTGCTGAACCTTTGGCCTCTGCTCAGAGCTCGCTTCCCACAGGGGCGACCGCGGAATCCCGGACGCTTTACAAGGAGCTGGACGGAGACACACTTGAGTACCCGTCCACGTTCACCAGCCCTGCACCGTCCGAGCGGCACTTCAGCTCTCTGCCGTTTTCTAATCCAGATCAATCTGAGGAAAATGAACAGGCCACGTCTTATTTTTCCCTGCGCCGCCTCAGCTCGCCGCTGCTATCGGCACCCCTTTACAAGCCCATGCACCCCAGCCGTGCTTCTCTGCCCACGCTGCCCAAACCAGGGCTGCTGACCAGAACAAGTGAATACCTGCAGAGGCGCTGCACGGTAGCTGGAGATTCTAGATCTTACAGAGAGCGCAGCAGACTCACCTGTTCAACTTCCGTCTCCCCTGCAATGCCCGAGAAACCAATTCCAATGACTCCACTGGGCTACGGCTCAAATGTAAGCAGCAGGCATCTGCTGTCACCAAGACCCTGCCTCCATTTGACTATGGCCTTCTCTCCAGAGCAGCAGACCCTGACAGTCAGTGTTTTAACCCTCACTGGCATGCCTCAGAGACTGGAGGACTTGACTGTGATGGGTAGTCTGCCACCTCTGCACCCGTGTCCCACGCATGCCTCCACTCCAAACACGCTAAGCCCTGAAGCCAACAGCCAGGTGCTGCTGTTCAAGGTGGATTCTGCGAAGGAGCTCCAGCGCTGTAGACTGAGATTAGCTCTGTATGATCAGGAAAAGCACAGCAGGAGAGACACGGCTCTAGGTGAGGCGGAGGTTGAATGTGAAGGAAGAGACTGGAGATCGGAGCATGTGTTTCACTTTATGAAGGAGTTTCATGCAAATGACTGTATTGTTGAGTTGGTATCTGTAAGCAGGTCTTAACACAAAAAAATCCTGCATTGTGGAGTTGCTGCAAACCTGTAAGATGCTGCTACAGGTTTGCATAAAATAGGATGAGGCAAAACTCCAAGATGTTAAAAAGTTTTTATATTGGATGTAGCCAGTAGTTAGCTTTTTCACCCTAAAACAGTTCTAACCCATCAATTCCAGTGGAGTAATACTGATATGATGTGTGTGATGGAGCAGGTCATGCAAGAAATAGATAAGGACTTGGTGCCATGTGATGTGATTCATGTTGGAGACCATGAATAAAACAGTTTGTTCACTTTCTTGTTTGTTATATTTCTTATCTATCTTCTTTCAGTTTAAATGTTTAAATTCAAGAAATACTTTATGCCAAACTGCTTTGTTAGTGTTAAGAATAAAAGTCAACAGTATGTAATTAAACATCACATAAATTCATGATATGAACCATGCGGATGTTACCCATTGTTAACTATGAATGGAAATCTCCTTTAATAGCATCTGTAAAAATTTAAGATGAAGACAAAACACTCCGAAAATGTGGTAGACCAACTACACTAGCCAGGAGGCCCTGGGGTAAAGAGGTTTGACCCAACCTTTTGTTGTGTACAGACCAGATTTGAAAAGTGACCTGAATTTCTTTTTTGACATTTTTCTCATTTGACTCAAAATTGTTTTTCATGGCTGTGAGCAGAGGAAGTCACATTATTCAGATCTTTCTCATTTTGAATTCAATTCAATTAGGGGCACTTTAGCATGGGGTCATAGATTGAATAGCAATCAGATTTTCTATGTGACTGGTGTCAGAATATTTAACAGGAATTTGTGAAACTGCTTTACTGATGTTAATCAATGTTCTGCAAATCCTGAGCGAGCAGGAACAGGTCTGGGTCTGCCTCCTAATTATCATCTCATTAGAGACAAAAGGTAAAGTTGTTTACTTTTATCACATAAGATCTTGGGTATACAAACATGTCACTGTTTCTTATCTTGACTATCTTTATCTACTGATGTCTTTGATGTTTTTTGTTACTGTTGGACAGTTCAGTAATGGTGAACTTTTCCCTCTGAAATCTCCTTATCAAAAACAAAAATCTCTCTTCAGTAAACAGGAATGAGCAGTAAGGCCTGCAGCCTGACTATCATGCCAATCTGAGAGTCAAGAACTGTGCATCTAATCACATTATATCTGCACAGCCAGGATTTTGGCCCTCTGGTCACCCCTGGCAACCTTCGGCCAACCTGCTGAAAAATTTCTGAATAAATAAGTAAACGTTTAGATTAAAAGACCCATGTGAAGCGGTTTTGATTCAGTTTTTGCTGTGCTGATTTTTGAAAAAAGTTTTCCATCTCGAGGAGAAAAAGCTGTTTAATATCTGGCTGAGTGGGACGTCCCCTTCTGACCTCTGAACTCCACCCAATGACCCTGGAGTGTGATCTTCTGGGATGCAATAATGTGTAAGGGGCTTAGTCATCCTATACAGATCTTCATTGCTCTTCATTATCTGGCCCTGACCCACTATGTCAAAGCCACAATCCCAGAGCGGATGCCCTGGACAACCTTGGTCTCACATCAACAAAAGCAGGTGAAACCTGTTTAGAGTCAATTAATTTCACAAGATGAATAATTGCGTTGCCATTAGGACACCATCCAAACATGCGTGACCAGATCCAGCCTCAGCTTTTCAGGGCCAGAGGTAAAGTAATTCCCTATGTTTGCTTTTAATGTTGAAGGGATTAAATGATGTCTTACAGAAGCCAGGAGCAGCAGGAGATCATCCCTTTTTTAATGATACTGTGCTTTAATCCCGCAATGTTCACAATCCTCTGGAAAATGTTCCAATCTGCACCGGAACTCTGATTTGACAGATCTAATCTTTGTTTGCATTAGCCCACGAGGGCATTATTTTCACTGTAGACGAGCACAGTCGGTGTACAGAGACATCAGGCTTTTACCATATCTGTTTCAAGTAAAATACTGTATGACACATTGGCATGACGTGTTTAATCTTTTTCTAGACATCTAATTTTTATTCGATTTGGGCTTCTTCCATTCCTTTATTTTTAGGAATAATCATAAAAGCATACATTTCTACTTCAGATATTTCTTGAGCTTGTGTAAACAGTAAGGAAAGAAAGGCCTGACAGAAAGTTTGTGACCAAAAAGATATGTATTTGAGACATATCAACACAAACAGGATTTAACACTGTCACATAGTCATAAGTCGCTTTCCTGTAAATATTACCGAATATAAACACTGAGAAAGCCTTTTTCATCAGTGTGGGTTTTAACCTCTGTTCTCATGATTATCTCTATAACTTAGTTTGTCAGACTCTATGTTTTTATTATTTCATTTTTATTATCATTCATATGTTTGTGTCCCAGTGCAGATTATCAGGTGGAGATCAGTCTGCATCATGAGGGAGTTTTGATCAGCAGCAGAGAAGTTACAGGAGACTCCTGCTGTGTGTGCAGTGTTGTATTCATTTTAATATATCAGATGTTTCACATATCAAACCTAAAAATTCTGTCAAGATATGTTTACAATATGTTTACAAATATAAGATTTCCTGTTTGTAGGAGGGATGTGAGAAGTTACATGAAGAATGTTAAAATTGTCACTTAAAACTCAAACCAGGAAAATATTACAATCCTTTCACTCAGGAGCATAGTTTAAAAGCATATATTTTAAAAAACCTAACCTATATTTGATTATTTTATATAATTAAGTTACAAAGTGTACAGGTGTGCTGGTACATTTACCTGTAAGTATTAGTTTATGTAGGGACTTATAATAATGACTGTTTTCTCTCAAGCAGAAGTCATGACAAAATACCCAACTAGAGTCTTTTCTCCTCTTCATTTTCATTGGAACCCACAGATGTCCATTACCTCAGCCAGGAATAGTCCATCTGGCTGTGCTGCTTCATCGTAGGTCACCCTCATCTCCAAAGACAGAAGACTGGTCAGACATTGCCTGCAGTTTGTGGGTCCTGGATTGGCTGTTTGGACATTAAGACTTTTTAAATAAAAAGGGATAATTATAAGAATATGAAATATAAAACTATTAACATAACATCTAAGAATCTATTATGTGCTAAGAAATGGACGTGTATGTGAAATAGGGCCACAGCAGCTATAATTCACACTCATGTATGATGTGTAACTGGAGTCCTTTTTTTAACACGGGAACACAGAGGACACATACATTTATTGCCTATTTGGGTGTTATTTTATGGATTTATGACTTGTTACAGCTATTGGAAACTTCAGCATGTATTAACTGGTGTTTTTGAAAGCAGAGATTTTACCTGAGAATGGGTCTCATCTTCCTCCTCTTCGGTCCACTCACAGTTCTCATCCTCCTCAAACACTGGGGTCAGACTTGAGCCCTGCTGCCAGTTTCTTCTTTCCGCAGCAGCCTGAAAGAAAATAAATGTAATCAATTTTGTGTATTTTGCGCATTGTAAGTCAATCTTCTATATGATTCCCATTTGGTAGTCAATAATCTAATATTCAACATCAATCAGTGTTCTCACCCTGGCAACCAGAGATGTGGGAGTCCTGTCTTGAGATGAGGAGGATCCAGTTTGAGCTGAAAATGGTAAGTTAACCATCTTTCCTGCCTCTTTTCCTTCTCGCTCCTTAAAAAGACTCTTAAGCTGAGTAGAGCAAGACAAAAAATATTCAGTTCATTAGACTGACCGTTGTCAGGGTATGTCGATTCAGGAAACAGGCACCTGACTGAGGCTCATGGGAATGGCACATTAACATTTAGCTGATATATGGTGACCTAAAAGTAAAAGGATTATTATTGATTGATTGATTGATTGATTCCTGGAAGGCCATCTAGTGCTAAACTGAGACAAAGCCACAAATGTCATCTTGTTTTTGCAGCATTCATCACGTGTGGGCCATAAAAAATCTGGTGACCATCTTGTGGATATCCTGCTGGAATTGTATGACTTGTTTTTTTGGCAGAAAATAAAGCAGTGCACTGGCTGATAAGACTAAGACCCCTGCTGTCATAGCACAGATAAAGAAATGAACAGAAACCCTGCATGCACTAAAAACTACCTGCTCAGTCACCATTCTCCTTTGAAGCTCCGTCTCTGGATTAACTGGACACAGAGTTTTATCCCTCTTGCCTTCAACAGATGGTTTCTCATCTTTAACCTATGTAAAAACTGTGCATTATTTACTGTGCTCAAAAAGCATTTAGGGGGGCTTTGTAGGCTTTTATGAACTTTACCGGATAAAGCTGTTGTTTCAGCGTTTGAGGCTTCTGAACTGCCAGCATTTTCTCCTGCTGCAGCTGATCTGCCCTCCCTCTGCTCTCTGAAAACACACGGAGGACACAGAACAGAGTGAGCAAAACAGCTGCACTGCCTGATCAAAAAAGTACCATTTAGAAAGGCTAAGCTTATACCATCCAGCTGGACGCTCGGTGAGTCAGCAGTGCAGTCCCCTGCTGGCACATCTTGACAGTTCTCAGAGAGGTTTTTCATGAGCTTTCACAGGTACAATGAAGAGAAAAGAGATGTACTAAATACAACTTTGGTTAAATGTGTGTATTTAAAACTCAGTTAGTATCTACCTTGAACTCTAGAGTAGATATCTTAATTTGAGCCTCAGTTCTTTCCATCTCTCTCAGCCTTTCTAGGCTTCTCAAAGCATGTTCTCTAAAACAGAAAGAAGAGAAAGATGCTCATTTACTGGTGTTTACAGAGCTTGTTTTTCCCTCATGTTGCAAAGAATTTACCTTTCACTCAGTTCCTTCTCTTTCTGTTCGAGTTTGTGTTTTAACCTTTGAACCTCACCGCATTGTGTCCATCCCTGTTAATCGCTAAATGTTCACTTTACATATACATATAAAAATCCACATTTTCGGAAATTAATTTGGGTGAGGAAGAAAAATCCTGTTACCTGAGGTGATATGTGTTGGCAGCTCAGCGAGTGTGATGGTGGCTCATTCAGTAAAGAGGAATCTGATGAGCTGATGAACAGAGATCATGATGAAAAGTCAGATCCTTTGTAGCTTTTCCTTTTATGATGTAACCGCTGTTAAAATATTATCTAAATCAACTCACTCTGTCTGTGTCTCTTGGTTGGAGAGTTTCACTGACTCACCACCTGCAAACACAAGCTCATTTTGACGCCCCCTTGTGTTTAAATTATGTAAGCAAGGTCTACACATTTTTGTAAATTCCAAGAGGCACATGCATCTTTACCTTTTTCCTCATATCTGTGACACAAAGCCTGATTTCTGCGTCTTTCCTGCTCCAGTTCCTGTTTGCATACACCAAGCTCAGCCTTCAGTAAGCCAGACTCTCTCTGCACGATAAAAATGTTCAGTTATCAAAAACCATGCATCCATCTTCCATGTCAAGCTCACAGGAAAATTGGAACCTATATAACTCATAAGTCTTTATATGAAGACCCTGACATACAAAAAGCACAGAAACATTAGTTAATTCTGCAATAAAATGGCAGAATTTACAGACAAAAGGCTGGCTTTACATTCCTCCTTCGAGAGGAGGAAGCCACTGTGCGCTTATCTCAGGTTTATAGCATGTGTGCACGTGCATGATTATAAGTAATCTGGAAGTTAGTTGAAGCCAAATGGGAAGAGGAAATGAGATGGCTAGCGTAGATGCAATGAACAGTAGCTAAATATTTAAAGATTGTTAATCAGTGTGAAAAGTGTCATTGTCTCATTTCAAGGAAAAAGTAATGTAATACATTAAATTACATTAAATTACATAAATTATTAATTAAAAATCTGTCTGGGGGTGATCTTAAAAAATAAAGGGGCAGTGAATTCTCACGTCATTTGCTGACTTGTTCTTCTTAAAATGTTCTAATTCTTCTTGAGTGGACTGCAGGGCCAAAGCCACCTGTTGCCATTTTGCAGCCCAGTGTGAGGTCACCGCTTTCAGCTCATCGATGTGCTGCTCTCTCATTTTGTCTCGCTTGCGATATTCTTCCTCCTGCAGGCGCAGCAGGTCCTCCCTCTCTTGGACCTGTGCCTCCAAACATAGACACTGATCCTGCAGTTTCTGCCTTTCTACTTCCAAAGGTTCCATAGATTCACTGTAAAACACATTTCAGGTTAGATGTTGTAATTGTGCTTATGTACTTGGCTGATATTTGAAAATCACCCTCAGGCGTTGGATGTGGCTAAGCAGCAGCTCACCTGTGCTGGCAGCTATTTTTCTTTGTCTGTCTCTGCACCTCATTCCCGTCGGGGTTCATTTTGCGCAGCAGCTCCTGTTTTTCCAGGAGCAGCAGAGCACACTGTTCCTTCAGATCTGTGATCTGTTTGGAATTTGACATCTTCTCCTCTTGTAGCTCCTGCAGCTGACTCTGTGATAAGTCCAGACTCTGCACCATCTTTTCAAGTTCTGCCCTCAGCTTGTCATTGACCTGAAACAAAGACACAGTAGGGAAAATTTGTATGAAAAACTCACTTAAGTTAAGAAGAAAGAAAGTCTGTTCAGTTTAAGTATCAAACCTCTCTGAGAGATTGTGTTTCCTCCTTGACAGTTTCCTGGTCCTGGGTGTTGTGACCCACTGAATTAGCAGGAGTGTAATTTGGCTCGGAGCTTGACGAGGCATTAATTCCTCCTTCCAGCTGCAACCCCAGAACCCTTAACCTTTGAAGGAGGTCTTCTTTCTCCTCAATAAGCAAAAATACAGAGAGTCATAATTGAAAATGCACTATTGTCACCCCAATAAGAATTTAAACTATTGAAATTTATACAAAACCTGGATCAGGTGATCTTTGTCACGCAGAGCTTTAATCAGTTTGGCTTCAAGTTCTTTCATACTGTCCTCCAGCTTCAGCACTTGTGTTGACAAGACAGCTTTATCCTGACCAGAATTGGAATGACATTTTCCCAGGTAAGAGTTTGTCAATATGGAATGTATACGATTTTGTCATGGACACAGATTTATCAAAAGTGATTCATGATTGATCTGTGAAAGTTTAGCAAAAAATCATAAATCCACTTTTTTACAGTGACCCATGCTGAAAAAAAAAGAAAAAAATCTTTGTCTACAGTGAACCTATCTGAGATGAGGCAGTAAACCTATTTTTGGCTGACATGGATCCCATAGCAAATATAATGCAGAGACTTAATAGCTTACGTTAAAAAGAAGCTGTATGGTGGTTGGTAAGGTCATAGTTAACTTTAATATTTATTATATTGAAAATAATTTATATCAACTAATGCACTTAATCCTAAAAAGTAACCAAAATATACTATATGTGAATATCATACTGACCAGACAAGTCTTGCTGATCTTATTGTCAGCCTCACTCAGCTGCTGCTGCACTTCAGATCTATTGTGTGCATCATGATTTATGAGCTTCCTCATCTCCTCGATTTGGTTCAGCATAGTCCTCTGTGTCTACATGCACAGAAACACAGTTTTTGCTAACATTTCTTATGCAGAATGACACAAAAACAGCAACACAACATACCACTGTGATTTCAATTTGGTTTCTTTCTTACAAATGATGGACTCACCTGTGTTGAAGTCTCGAGATGTTGGAGTGCTTTATTTAGCTCTTCTTTATGGGTTGTAGCTTTTGCCTCAGCCTCTCTCAGAGCCTCTCTGAGATTGCACAGCTCTGAGTCAACTTTCTGCTTCTCCCAGATGAAAACCATTAATCAAATACAAAGTAAAATAGTTTTGTTATAACACAGGTATAGTTTCATATACATACAAAGAAAATGCATACCTTTTTGTTATAGTCTTCATGGGTTTCCTGTAATATTCTGCTTAGCAAGTGAGCTGTTTGGGGTCTGGCTGGTTGTTCCATGCTTTCTTTGGCCAATGTAGACCTCATTTGCAACAGTTCATTCTCCATCTTTAGGACCCTTAAAAGTGTAATACATGATACAACATTATGGGTTTGTTTGTTTTCTCCTCTGCAATTGTAGTGCATTATACTGCACTCACTTTTCATGAAGGTCTCCACACTGCTGGCTCATTTTAAAATGGGGCAATTCAGCCGCATCCTGCTCAAGAGAACTCATGACTTTTGATAGTTGCTGTGTGAAACAGGAAAATGGGTTCAGGGGGTGACCAGTACAAGAGGAAAACATATCAAGTACTCAAACAGGGAAACAAAAACATCTTACTATGTAAGGAGAAACAAATGGAAAATATTAAAACACAAGTGATCAGGTCATACATTTGGTTTAATCTTCACTGAAAACTCCTTACCTTTTGCTTCATGTCGAACATCTGTGCTTTAGCTGTGTTGTAGCTCAGCTGCATGTCTCTACTCCTCAGATGGTCCTGCTGGGTGTCCAGTCGCTCACGCGCATCGGACAGCCATCGGACTCCTGCCTGCCTAAAGCTACTCTCACCATGGCCAACCCTTGATGCAGCCCCTGATAAAGAAGATCGCACACCTTTCTCGGGTGCCAGATGGGACAATGACTGCCATCTTCGTAAACTTGGGCCACTCTGTCCGAAGCCGCTGTCCCTGCCAGATGTGTGGAAACACAAACGCTGGTCAGAGCATATCACGATTGCTGATTGAGGTCTACTTATCAATTCCCCCTGAGACTAAGAAACTAAATTGAACCCTCACCTGGTACTGACTTTTGATTGATATCCTGATCCAGAGACAGCTGACATACCACACCATGCTGAGGTCTAAAAGAAAATCCAGAATAATCCAAAACTGAATATCATTGTTTAAAACAAGTGTTTAAAACATTCATGCTATAAGCTTACCTGGGCTGTAAAGTGAGATTTGGTGTCCCACATGTCAAGATCTGTGAGTAAAAACGGACTTGAACGTCTGCATGAAGGGCTAAACATCTCAAAGCGTCCCTGTAGATCCAATATAGCGCTCCCCCCTGTAACTGTGAGGCTTGTCCTCCTCGGCCCAAATGTCTGCACATGTATCATGGGCTGATTTTCTCAGAGAGGTGGTAGCTGGACGTGTGAAGCTATTCTTAGACCGTGTGTCTTTATATTTCCACTGTTTGTCTGATAGTCAACAGTTAGTTTTGACACAACAGGATTATTAGATGTGTTCATCATCTGGAAATTATATATTGCCGGTGATTTATTTGATATACAATTCTTTATATCTTTATACAAGGTAAAGAATTAATATGGTAGTAAATGACAAAAATAATGCCCATCAAGCCTACAGCAGCTGCTTTTGGTAATCCTATTCAGAGAACATTTTCTATTACAGCACTCTTCCAGCAGAGACCCTCTCATGAACCTGCCACAGTTATGATTGGAAGCTTTTCAGCATACAACCCTTGAAGCAAGTATCCATGGTTACCTTTGTAAACAAATGCTGTTAGATGCTTGTGTCATGATCATCACTTCTGGGAATGTCTCCACATGATCTCACTCCGCTTGATGACTGTTTGTTTCCCAAAAATTAATTCCAACACACAAAGATGTCTTCTGACTAATTATTTATCATAGAATGTCACGATTAATTGTGTCTGCTCTAAGCATAGAAAAACTGAAAACTGTTGGAGATGATTGTTTGTAGGATCTTATTTCAGCAGTAAGAAGAGGAAGTGTGATTGATATTTTTTGTAGGCACTCTAATATTCTTCAGGTCAGTGTGAAATGTTGCATCTGACTACTAAGTCCAAAGCTACCTCGTTGGATAAGCAAATTGAGCTCATAGGCAGAAGCGACCTTGAAGAAATCTATTAACAATATATTGAAAGACACTCAAGCTTCCCTTTGTCATGGCTGGGACAGATTTTTTACTGTGCATTCATTGACTGAATGCAGGTTTATTGGTTGTTTCTTATAACAATCAACCAAATGGAAAGATGCAATTCTAAATTGCTCAAATTTTACAACAGATACAGTGCAAAAGAAAACGTAAGGCTGTATAGAAATCAGAATCCCCGGTGTCTTACAGGTGTTGCAACACTCAGTGGTTGCCACGGGTAACAACGCACAGCGGAAGACCTCTTATTTTGAAAAGTGCTGTCTCCCGGATACAGGAAGCTAGCAGTAGCAGCCGCTCGGAAAGCTAATAAGCTAATAGCGGAGAACACATTTTTGCGCATGTTGTTACAATTAATTCTCTTGAGTTCTTTCAAATAGTTTGATTCAACACAAAGAAAAGATAAAACACTTCCAGGTACTTATTGAAATAGTTGAAGTTTTAAATCAGCATTTCAATAGTTACTTGGCCTGATAGCAGGCCGAGGCTAACCTTAGTCTGTTTATTTGGTAATGTTAGGACCGAGCGAATAGCATTTCTGTGTCTATTTCTCAAAAAGTTTGAGTCCTGGTGTAACTCGCAGTTATTAGTTAGCGGTATTCAACGGCCAGTGATAGTAAATGAATTAACTACATATGTAACTCTTTCCAGACATGGCGGCAGACTGGTTGGGTAGCTTGGTGTCAATAAACTGTGGGCCAACGCTGGGAATGTATCAAGGAGAGGTATCGTCAGTGGACCAGAACAGCCAAACCATCTCCTTAAGACAGCCTTTCCATAACGGAGTCAAGTGCCCCGTTCCCGAGGTCACATTTAGGTAAGAATTCCTCCCCTGTTCTTCTGTCTCCCGTCAGTTTGTTCAACTTTCAGTTATTTAAGATACTTTCCTCTTTCCAGTGCCATTGACATAAAGGAGCTAAAGATTTTAGATATCAGAAAAGACAATGCCAGGACAAACTCTGCTGCATCTGCAAAGGGGAACAGTGTGCCAGTTGCAGTCCCCAAGGGTGACCCCCGATCAGTGGAGAAGCTAAACTCACCACAGCAGTGTTCTAAAAGTTACGGAGAGCGTCACCTGGATGCACTGGGCCAGCTCAAAGGATTTCGTCGCAGACACAACTCCTGTAAGTCTTATTTTTTCAAATCTAGCCAACAATAAAACAGTCACTCCACAGTGCTGTGGCATATTGTTAACCGACGCTATTGAAATCTCCCCAGGGTCATCGAGCAGTCGAGGGGTCAACCAAGTGACGCCAAAAAAGAATGGAATGAAGAATGGTCAGATGAAGCAAAGAGATGACGAGTGTTTTGGAGACGGCATTGACGATGGCCTGGACACAGACTTTGATTTTGAGGGAAACTTGGCCCTTTTTGACAAAGCAGCCGTTTTCTCAGAGATTGACACCTCTGAGCGGCGTAATGGTGCCAGGTCACGGGGAACACCTCAGGACCAGACCCCCTCACAGTACCGTCATGATGAGAACATCCTGGAGGCCAAGCCTGTTGTGTACAGGCAGATAGCCGTACCACAGCATGGGGCCATGGAATACTGCACTGGTTAGTGTTTTGCTCTGTGTGATGGAATGCTTTGGCCGTGTCTGAGAGTGGTGTCAAATCTTTCTCTTTTTCTTCTCCTCTCATGCCACACAGACTCTGGACTCGTTGTGCCAAGTATATCCTACGAGCTGTACAAGCGACTGTTGTCTGTTGCCGAGCGCCATGGTCTGACACTGGAGCGAAGACTGGAGATGACTGGTGTGTGTGCGAGTCAGATGGCCCTCACATTGTTAGGAGGGCCCAACAGGTAAGTTTGATGATTGTAAAGGTTTCAGTTCCTCAAACTTTGTACTAATTTACAGGTGGATACCCTTAAATTATGGCTGTAATTTACAACAGTAGGTAGTATGGAGCTGTGTGCTTTCATAACATCAGCAGCCTCCAAATGTATTGGGAGCTAAATGCATTGCATATTTCCACCTTAAGTTCAACATTTTATTCATGATTATTTTATGATATGTAATTTTAAATCGATAGCTTCCCCAAACCCTTTGGGGCTTCATACAGATCTGAATGTTTTTGTCCTGGATTTGAAAAGAAATTCAAACTTTCTTTTTAAATCATATTCATTCCAGATTCACGCCAAAAAATTTACATCAGCACCCCACTGTGGCGTTGCTATGCGGCCCCCATGTCCAGGGAGCCCAGGGCATCAGCTGCGGTCGTCACCTGGCCAATCATGAGGTGGAAGTGATATTGTTCCTTCCAAATTTCGTCAAGATGCTTGATTCTGTGACCAGTGAGCTCACACTCTTCAACAAGACGGGTGGAAAGCAGGTGTCCAGTATAAAAGGTGGGCTGGCTTTGCCACTTTTCTGGCCTTAGCTTTATCTTCATTATAGACTTAGCATGTTTACAGATGGTCACACAGTGTTTCCTCTTCTCTTCTCTCTAACTGAACAGACCTTCCAGACACCCCGGTGGATCTGATCATAAACTGTCTGGACTGTCACGAGAACACATTCCTCATGGACCAGCCCTGGTATCGGGCAGCTGCGGACTGGGCTAACCAGAACAGAGCACCGGTGCTCAGCTTGGATCCCCCCATAAATGGGCAGGGGCATGCGGTTGAAGCAAAGTGGTCCCTCTCCCTTTGCCTCCCGCTTCCCTTGGGTGAGGGGGCCGGCCGGGTTTACCTGTGTGACATTGGTATCCCTCGCCAAGTGTTTCAAGAAGTGGGAATCAAATACCATTCCCCCTTTGGCTGCAAATTCGTCATCCCCTTACATTCTGCGTAAAAGGAGAGATTAAAGCTTTCACCTCCTTTCACCGTTTTGGGTTTAGGAGCCTTATATTCCAGAGTTTGCTGGATTTCACTTTTCCCAGGATGCAAGTTGGTGTGAATCGAGCTATTCTCCCATACTGAGGGACCACTGTTGCAAATGCTAGTTCTACAGGTGTTTATGTAAACTGATGGAGGAGGAAAAGGCTTAGATGGATCTGAACGATCTACAACTATAGATAATGATGTCTTAAGATGGTGGAATCTCACAGGCCAATTGTAGATTTAAAAGGACAATCTCTCACCTATAAATACAACTTTTCTTAGTCTTAGATCCAGAGCCATCTGTTGAATATGTATAAATCTGTTATATGTACATTTAGATCATGAAAAGGCAGTGTTGAGCTGGATGTTTCCACAGCTAAGGGTCTGTCCTTGACTTGGTTTTTGTTAACTGCATTACTAAGTGTGGGTCTGCAGGCATCCTTTTCTGGACATTGTGTACAGCTCTATATTTGTGCATTCAGTGAGTTGTCACTGAATGATCATGAGCCAAGAGAAAACAAAGAGTTGTCACTGGATGTAACTCCAGTTCTGTTATGAGCCATTTTCTACTCTTTCCAGATTAGTAGAATAGAAATGCAGACCTCCTTTTCTGTTTCAGAGGATTTTCTCTCTTTAATGTTAGGAGGTCGGGTTCCATCCCCACTCTCATGGGGAGAAACCCCAACAGGTGGACTCACACCTGGGTTTCTGTAACTTCCCTGCTGGTTGTCATACATGTGAAGTGAGAATTGGCCTTACTGGCTGCCATATTTTGCTGCTGTCAGTTGCTGTTGCCTGATGTTTGAGTTTTGTAGATGTTTCACTCGAGCTCATGTTGAGTATTTTGTCATTTCTATTATGCTGTGTTTTCAAAGTCGACCATGATGGAATGGGGCAGCTATTAGATAGAATTCCATTTGACAGCAGTTTTGTTTGTTTGTAGCAAATTGGGCTGTGACATTAAGGGCTCTGATGACAAGATCCAGCACACCAAAAGCTACTGCAGTCTCAGTCGTTATTGAGGGTTTGGGGGAAACTATGATTGTCCTCTTTGTTATGGCCCAGTGGTGTCAGATGAAGGGCTGTGCCAGGGTGTTCGAAAGTTCCCCTTCACAGACTACAACTCATTGGCCTGTGTGACTGCCGGCTGAATATTTCAGATTTTTTTTTGTTTAGTTTTTTACACGTCCCTGCAGTTCTATGTGGTTTTCCATTTGTTTATGTCCAACATAGAATAAAGCAGTCACTGCAACCTCAGTTTGCTCAGTCAGTGGTATTGATGCTTCTTTGTATCACAGAGGTTTGATTTTAGAAGCCTGTATTACATCCCGCTGACATTATGCGACAGACTTTATTAGTTGGTAAAATGACTACGTTTTGAGGTTTTCTGCTTGTTTAAAAAAAAAAGAAAAAAAGTTCTTCAAATGTTAATTAAAAAAGGTTTACGCTTAGGACAGTAGACAGAATGTCTGAATCTCAACGTGTCGAGATAATAGTTTCATATAACAGTAAAACGTTAAGTCTTGCACTGAGTAGTGTGTGTGACCCGGTAAGATGGAATCTTCTACAAATGATTGGCAGCAGTCTCATCTGCTCACATATTCAGGCGCACTCTAACTTGAGGGTGTTCGGGGTGACAGCGTAGACTGTGAAAAACAATCTATGCAGAGCTGCTCTTGCAGCTTTTTGCGGCTTTGATGGGGAGCTCTTGTGTTCAGCTCCACTCAGTTCTATCAGCGACCACAGCCAGAATCTTTACCCTTTTAAAACTGTAACGCTTTCAATGAGCCCGGGGCTGAGTTTACAGGCTGGTTTTGGGGGCTTGCACAATCATGCTCGTCATGACTCTTAGTTTTGGATTATGGGCATATTTCTTCGGGCAGTGTAGCTCAGGTGAGGGCTGAATCAAAGCACTCCCGTCCAGATTAAGAATCTGTGGTAAATGACGTTGTTTGTGGCTTTGCATCCACAATTTGTCACATAATTGTAAGAGACATGGAATCTATTATGTGCTCATGGTTTATGTGTTTGTAAAGTTCTGCCACACACTATGTTTTTGGTTCTTTTCTCCGACATTCCTCTGGGCTGATGCGTAACGTCACATCTGTTGGGACAAGCCTGGCCTGGAAACCTGAGGTGTTTCTGAATGTGAAGCAAATGATGTTTGCATTTGGCCGCCAGGAGGCGATGAAAATAAATCTTTGGCACCTCCTCGTTCTGCTGTAGCGGAAGCTTTTTGTAATCAAATGCCATTTTCTCGAATAAAACAGTTTGTTTTTCGTAAAATGTGACGTCAGAGTTAACGTGGAGGCTTGGATTTTTGTTCGATATCACAAGGTGATTTTCTTTCATTTTTATTTTACGGAAATAAAAAAAAATAGCAAACTCCTGGTTGTTCAGATCAATCGTCCACGTAGAGATAAGTGAGATCACCTCTTTCTACAGAACTCGGTTGACAGTAAAAAGTTTTGGCTGCTCAGGAAAGTCTTTGTTTTCTTTGTTTTTTTTAAAAACGCTTCCGCTGTCACGCCTCTTATTAAGAAAAACACAAATTTGTTCCCATGGGTCATGTCCGTCGATTGAGCCAGTAAAAACCACTTCGTAACGCCTGTGTGACTATCACGTAAACATTGCTCCACCGCTGATCGAGTTCCAACAGAAGTTTGACTGAAAACGATCATTTGGAAGCGTATTTTTAGACGGAGCATCCCAACGCGCATGCGCGCTGCAGAATCAAGGTGGGGCGACAAAAAGTTGAAAGTTTGGGACTGCGAAAACGAGTCGCGCAGCCTGTGTGTCGCAGTCATGCCCTGCTTTTAGCTGGGCGTAATTGAACTTTTCTTACGTAAATAGGAGAAGGAAGACATAAGGACAAAGAAGACGACGAGGACGGAGAAGCCTACCGACCAGAGGCGGAGGGACCAGCCCGCGGAGAGTTCCTTTTTGAAGGCATGCCGTGCAGATAATGCGGAGCCCCAGATCTGCTCTGGACTGCTGAAGATCACCTGCCAAAAAACTGAACTCCTCCATCAGGAGTTGATGCATTTGCAACATCGGTCGACCATCAGTTTATTTTATTTATTCTTTTATGGCTCTGGTTAGAATGGACATGCTGCTGCTGCTTCGATGAGAACGGACGTCGCAAAGTAGCCTGACCACCTGCTGCCCCCCCCGGACCGTTTGGCTTTTACCTGCAAACAGGTGAGCTTCGTTTCTCTTTAAAGAACACACTCAAAAAAGAAGAAGCAGTACCAATCCAGTGGGTATGTCACCTCAGCTTTCCGACTAGTCTCCCAACGGGAGCTTCAGCAGGGCGCGTAACAGCGCAGCTGCGTGCACATCTGGAGTTTACCTGCCGGTGCTTTTAGGGTTAGGGTTAGAATCGCTTGCCAGCGCGCTCCAGAGACGTGCGAACACGCGCTTTTTTAAAAAGATGTTGTCTAAACGGACGGGGCCCTCTTGACATCCTCCTTCAAGTTTCTGCCACTTCCTCGGACTTCCTGCAGCAGCTCCCCTCTCCTCCCCGTTCTCCCCTCTCTCCTCTCTCCTCAGGGCTGCTAATGCTGATGATATTCAGCTTGGCGAACAGTCAACACATCTGTCCTGGATATGTTTCTGGCTGCTGTTTTTTTTTGCAGTGTGCTGTCCTTTTCCCCCTTCTTTTCGTTCATGTTTTGCTGCGATCTCGCTTTGTTTAGATTGTAACTCTGAGGGAAGACCTTTATTTATTTATTTATTTACCACGTAAGTTTTCGTGGTATAGATGCATAGGTATAATACTGAAGGCCCCTTAAAACCGGTGCCACTGAGGAGAGCTGTGGATCTCGTGGGTGTTAAGGTGAACTTCCCTCTTCTTCAGTCCGCCTCCGTGCAGCGCAGGGCCTCTCCCACCAACCATCTCTGTTTTAGAAAGTGACAAACTGCAAAGGCGCATTATGTCGACGGAACAACTGCACGAAACCACAGCAAAGCGCAGCCGCATGAGCAGAGCAGCTCGCTCTGCACGGTGCGTGCACAGATCTGCAGGAAGTGTCCGTCTGCTGCTCAGGCATTCGTCTTTGACTTATATGGTGATTTGTGTTTCATATGTGCAGTTAGGGGGAAAAAAAACAACACACTGCCAAGCTCGTTATCTGAACTTTGGATGGCAATAAAATGCAAAGTTCACTCTGATGGCTGGATTTATAATTGAAGGTGATTGCCCTAAGCTGGCAATCATTGATTGATGTGCTCCTGCTACTCTGAGAAGGCTGTTTTTGTGTTTATTTATGGTGAATGGGACATCACAGGCTTATAGCCCGCAATTTGATTTCATCTCTGTATTATCGAGTCTCATGGGAAAAACTGTTGGTCATTAAAGTGATACAATGATGGCTTGTGTCGTAGGAAAAAGAACCAGACACATATTTCCTCTTTCAGATCCACTCGTGTGTGGGAGCCAAGCTGCTGTATCAGAGTCCAGCTCTGGAGTCGGAGGTTTTTAGGAAAGCCGTGGTGACCTTTTGGTATGCATTTCTTATTGATCTGTACATTCTTAACTTTCACTGTTTCAAATTTGACCGTTCGGTGGTTATTGTCAGAGATGGCTACTTCATTTGGAAGATCAGTTTGGATTATTCCATGATGACCACATAGTATCCTCAGGGTTAGGATAACAACTGAAGAGGAAAGCCTTCAATTCAACTTTTTAGAAGGAGAGATGTATTTATATTGGATGAATAAAAAAAAAAAATTGTAAGCAAAAATTTCAGATCCGATAATTATGGACTGTATGTCAATATACATTGTACGTTTTATTTCTAAAATAAAATTGATCATTTTACACCCAATAACAGTAGAAATTCTGTAAGAGTTACAGGATTTAGTTTGCCTAAATCAGCTGAAATCTGCCAAATCATGACTTAAACATGCTGTTGTTGCTTAATGAAAATGGCATTGATCCAAAAACTGATCATGCACATGTTAAGATTCTTCTTTTGTATTAGTAACAAAAGTAATGACAGGTCACACGCCTTCACGAGGAATGTAGGTGTTGGGGAACTTTGCTTTCCAGAAAATGTTACATCACGGCATATTTTCAGGAGACTGGGCTGTTACGATTGCGTTGAATTTATTACACTGATTTAATGGAGTTGGCCACCGAGACCTTATTTGGAATAAGCAGGTGTAGAAAATGGTCATTGGATGATTGAGCTCATCATCTTCTACTGACTGATTTCATCTTAGAAATTCTGTGAATCATTAGGATTTTCAGATTCTTGGCATGAAGTGATGATTAAGGGTGTTTCTTTTTCAGTATGAAGAGAAATAAAGGATGCCTGATATTTATACTATATATAAGCCAAGTGCATATAAAATAAGATTATTTTTCCTCGATAACGAAAACCCTGAGGTAAGGCACAGGAACCTCAAAGTCATGCTTAGATGCTTATTAATGAAGATATCCATTTGATAGCTGCTTTGCTCCCATTTAAACTTCAAAGAGTCTTGTGTAACAAAACAGTGTGTTTCTAAATGAAGAGATTAATCTTGCAGCCATTGGCACAATTGTGATTCTTCACTTCATATTTGGTGTGTAGGTGCACAGGGAGTGGCAGTTTCACAGGAGCCCAGTCAAGAGATTTCGACATTCCTGTTCCGTCTTGCTTCTCACTGTCTAGCTGCCATGGGGCAGATCAGACTTGTGCTACTTTTTATTGATCCCAGGCACATCGGTGAGGTTATTTAGTTGAACTCCGATGTAATTTTGGATAGTGAGAATATGCTAAATTGTACAAATGCAACATTTTTTTGTTTGAAGTAGTAGGGCATCACTTTCTGCTGTCAATTACACACCTTATGATTTCCTTGTTCTATGTGTGTGAGTGTGTGTGTGTGTGTGTGTGTGAAAAACTTGATCTACTCACAATGACAGCCTTGTGTGCTCTCTGAAAAAGGGCAAAGCTGTGGTCTCTGGAAATGGCAGTGTGACTGCATGGCAGACTGTTGCACTCAGCTGCTGGTCGCCTGCTGCTGTGAGGCATTCAGTGTCCCAAAGGAGATGAATTAAAGAAGAATTGTTTAGCCTCGGCCCTGTTGATCAGTTTCTCTTTTGGATATCTTTCAAAGTGGGCTGTGCTCAGGCCCGGTCTGTTAACATCGACACATTTGCAGAGCAGTGTGGACACAAGATCTTGTCGTAAGGGGTAAATTGTCATGAGATGGGTTCAAGTCTTTCCATGTTTTTAACATTACTCTGTGGACATCAGTGTTCAGACATTTTTGGACTAGAATATGTCGCATATAAAGTATTTTCTGGATGCCAAGACATTAGTTGATGCTTTTTATCATCTAATATCTGCTTTCGGATCATTACAGCAGCCGCATCCAGCTTTTGCTTATTTGTGAGTCTGTCTTTAAACTGATCTTAAACATCTTTCACCAGCAGCTCAGGTGGATTGAAGCCCGCTGAGTAAATCAGTTATTCCACCTTAAATCTAATCAGTTCTTCTTTTCCGTGTGCTCGACGCCTCACCACAACCTCACTGACACAAACCAATAGATGGCTTTGGTACCTTTTCGGCTCATAGAGAGCAGAACAAATGTTTTTAGCTGCTTCCTGTTGTTTCAGTTTCTGAGACTTTCAGTTTGCGCATGTAAAGTGCTTTCCCGTTTTTAAACGTTGACATCACAATGCGACACATTTGCATGATTCCTGGCCACTAGTTAACTTGACACAGCCTCAGACAAAAATATGAGTGCTGATAACCTAAGTAGATTTGTCATTTTATTTGTTTTGCAAATGTGTTCTCATTTATGACTTCCATAGCAATTCTAACATATCTACAAAACAAAATTATAAATGTAGTAAAAACACAAAATGTGAACCAAATGGGAAACTTTTGGGCGAGCTTGAGGGCAGAACTCCAAAACCAAAATGTCTCTAAACAGTTCAAATACTCTTTGTATCACATGACCATTATATTTACTGCAATATGGTTTTAGTCTGACAGTTACGGCAAGCAGAAGACAAACCTTGCTGACATTGGTCAAACTCTGATTTAAACCCGTTGCACATCAGAAGGTCTACATTTTTCATCAGTATGTTTCAACACTTGATGTTTATTCAGAGCACACATGCAATTTTTTATTTTTGGCAAGCATAGTGTCTGAAAATGTTCTACAAAGAACTGAGCAGGCTGTTTTTGTAGAAACCAAAATGATATCTGTAGATATGTCACGATTGGCATAAAATCATGTCAAAATGAGAATTGCATTCATAAAATTAGAATGAGCAATTCCTATATAGAAACAATGGAGATCTTCTGCCTCAGTGCCATGATGCACAGCCATGTTTCCACAAAGGACAAACTGTCACTGGCTCTATTGGGAGTAAATACTTTGAATGTTTACTTTGGCAGCCAGTGTATTTGGAACACTCGCTTTTGTAAGCGAAAGTCGACAAATTAGTCGTTAGATGTCACTAAATCATAGTGTCACACCTTTTGTGTGTTTAATCTAATGATTAAAAAGCTTTTTGCTTCTCTTTTTTTTTTGCTTGCCCCATAGTCCCAGACTTTCAGCTCTAAAAATAATTAGATAACAGACCTTTTGGCTGTGCTGCTAATTTTCAACCTTTTTCGTAATGTTTGCCAAAAAGAAGTTAATCTGTGAATGTTTTTGCTAATTTTCTTTTCATGTTTTGATCTTTGTGGACTGTGCTGCGCTGGGAGGAAGTTGATGGATGTGGTAATGCATCCATGTGCAATAGGGTGGGTGACGTCGTCTGCCCCTGAGCCGTGAACATTCTATGACACATGAGGATTTTTGCTCCTGTTTGGCCTCAGTGATATGGGCCTTAGCAACATGTTTCGGAAAGGAAAGAGCTGGAGATCGTTTTCCTTTCTGTCACATTTCTAAGTATCTCACTACACCATTGACGTATTCTAAACTTGTTTTGTGGTATGATGAACTGGCGACGTGTCCAGGGCGTATCGCACCACTCACCTGCTAGACTCCAGGCCGGCCACGGCCCTTACGTGGAATAAGAGGACATAGAAAATGGACGGAGGGGGTGTCATGCGGGATGTCAAGTGGACACATCAAATTTCAGAGGAGGTGACCTCATGTAAAGTGACAGATTGTCAGAAAAAGGGATTTTCCCTGATCTGTGATCACCAAGCCCCTCCGCCTCTCCCTGGGAACTAAAAGAGGAAGAGGGACCACGGGAGAGAGGGGGGGGACGAATTGAGCACAGCCTAATCCATAGGTCATCATTTAACTATGACGCTTCTGCTCTGATTTGTGGTGTCTCATGGAAACGCGGGCCCTGGGGTGTGACTCAGGCCGGGGCTGTAGTGGCCTAAAGCAGTTCTGGGCTGGACAAGTCCCCCCGAGGCTGCTGAGATCTGGCCACAAGTTTGCATTCCAGTGCTGGAAGAAAACTCTTAATTGCTATAGGGTCCAGGGACTGAGGCTAACATGGAGGCCTAAATAAAAAAAGTTTCTCCATATGCAATGTAAATTATAGTGTAAATCCTGTTTTCTTTCAGTGAGAGAAGTTGGTGTAAAAATGTAGCCCTGATAGTTTTTGGTCTGTCTGCATGCTGAAAGTTGTTCTATATCTTGCGTCATGGAAACATTCGGCACCAGTTGTGAAAGTGTGATTTTAAAAAGGAAGGCTAGTAAGTTCTGCTTTCTGTTTAAGTGAGTTATTTTTACCGGCATGGTCGATTGGATGCTACTCCAGTGCACAGAGATAATAGCTAACCTTAATCTACCGAGAAAAAAACACTAATGAATTGTCTTCCTAACAATTTGTTTGTGGTGATTTGAATGCTGCTGAATCGGGTGAACGCTACTGACAACCCCGTTCTTTTCATAGGTACTGCACGTGTGTGTGTTTTATCAGCTCTAATGGTCGCAGATAGTAGACCTCACTTGTGAGAGGAAAGAAGCACCTCACCATGACAGAGGTCCAGGTAAGAAAGGCCTCAGGGGTACAAACATTTTGACACACTGAAAATGTTCTAATTGACTTATGGCCCGCCGACATTGTTCCAGAGTCCATGGCCGCAGGGCACAGAGTGTGTGGCCAGGTACAACTTCAAAGGCACATCTGAGCAGGACCTGCCCTTTAACAAAGGAGACGTGCTGACCATCATTGTCGTCACAAAGGTAAACTGAATGTCTCAGGTTTTGACTCTATAGTATGTAAAGCTGTAAGTCTGTAAACATGACAGAACATGCAATTTGACATTGCTGACCGTTTTTTGTTTCAGGACCCTAACTGGTACAAAGCTAAAAACAATGCCGGCCGCGAGGGAACAATACCTGCCAACTATGTTCAGAAAAGAGAAGGCGTGAAATCTGGGGGCAAACTGAGTCTAATGCCGTGAGTAAACAGATTACCCTGGATCCATCTTTTCTTAAACGGAATTGTATCTTTCCCTTCCAAATCGAGCATTAGACCCCTCTCTGTGCTCTCTGTGTATCTCGCCACCATGTCATCTTATAGAGATGTCTGCAGTGATGGACAAAATAGGCCAGCTTCACCCTTTGCCTGATTTTTCTTGGTAGCGATGCCTATGCGAATGGAGAACTTGGTTTGACGGGGCAGCATTGTAGTTGCAATGCACTTGTGTCTGCTTCCACCTCAGCTTTGCATGAACACAGCACAGCTTCCTGTTGTTCACTGCTATTTCAGACGAGAGTAATCTAAAACATCTCCCCGTTTACCCACGTGATGGGTTTCCATCTGCATGAATGATAGTTTTATTTATAGAGCTCTTGATCACAAAATTATGTCTCAGATGACGTTGTTGAAGATGAGACTGCACATACCAACACACACACACACACATAATGGGATGTGATATGAAAATCAATTTGACATATCTCCCAGGAAGATGGAGGCACCCTACATGAACTCCTACTGGACTCATTTAACCCTAGATATTGGGGGAAAAAAACTCATCTTGTCACATAAGATGTACATAAGAACAAATTAGTTAGGAGCCAGTTTATTTTTTTGTAAATATAAATAGCCTACAAAAAATTTGTGACGGGAAAACTGCTCCCACTGTCCGCTTCCCATAAATTAGGGAAACAGTTTGTATTTCTATGACGAAAGGCTTTTGTACAAGCTTTCCAACAAGGTTCTCTGTGTCATATTTAAATTTCTTATGGAGCCACATGCAAATACTGATACTGTACACTCTGAAAGCTCCATTTGAATATGTTATAGCCTCTATAATAAAACTGGCCACAGTGAATATGCAAAACAGTATTATCTTTTCATCTGGATTCTGAAAATGTTATTTGAAGTATTTGCATTAAAGGCCCATTTAGGGATACCTATAACATCATATTAGTATTAAAACAATGAACGATGATTATTGTACAAAGGCTTAAAATAAACCAGCCAGCCAGGTCAGAAATGGTGGGGTCGCTTTATGAACCGTCAGAGGCTCTTGTGTAACTGTTCTTCTTTTTTTTTTAAATGAGCTTCTTTCAAATTAGTTCATGCTCCTAATCTAACTTTATTGGGTTTATTCTTAAAAAAAAATCCCACCCAACCACTTCATTATGAAAACGAAAGCATAGAATGTTAAATTGTTTTAATAAGAAGCTAGTGCTTCTGGGTTTGAAGCAGATATATATGGATAACTGAAGTGATACACTTTCTACAACAGCCAATAGATGCATTTATTCAATAGGTTTGTGCTTCCATGTCAGAAACCAAAATACATTCCCTTCTATGTAAAGGCTAATGCACCATTTTGCAATTTTAGAGAAAGTCTGAACCAGCATCAAAGGTTAATGTCTTTTTGCTCATTCTGCACCTCATCAATAAGTTTTGTAAAAGTCAACTAAATAGTTGATCTTGCTGATGAACAAAGTAAGGAGACCTGTCTCATACAATGCAATTAGTTAATCTTGGTTGAATCCTTAAAGAAAAAATACAGATATAAAAACACTCATTTTTTAGATAATATGCTGACATGTAGAAATGACTTATTAACTCTTGTAAATGAATAGAGAAAATGTCGTTAAGCACTTAAGGAGTAAAAAGTCTAAGTAAGGGATTAAATACAATACAATAAACACATTTTAAAGACTCTATGCGTCATTTGTCATACGTACTATAAATGCTCCACTACGATATGGTCAGCTTTGCTCTGGTTTTGTACTTCCAGATGGTTCCATGGGAAGATAACTCGCGATCAGGCAGAGCGGCTGCTGAACCCCCCTGAGACCGGCCTGTTTTTGGTGCGAGAGAGTACCAACTTCCCTGGTGACTACACTCTCTGCGTGAGCTGCGATGGCAAAGTGGAGCACTATCGCATCATCTATCACAATGGCAAGCTCACCATCGACGAGGAAGTCTTTTTCGAGAACCTCATGCAGCTGGTTGAGGTGAGAGAAGTGGTCAAGTTTTTGTCTTCTAAATAACAGGGTTTTTCGTGCTTGGTGTCCCGGCCCCAACTGTACGGCTTCAGAGATTGTGTAGTTCCTGGAACATGAAATGAACAGGAAGTGTCGAAGAGGAAGTGAACTGTATGCTGAGGTTCAGAGTTCTAACCTAAAAAAAAAAAAAGAAAAGAAAAAACAGATTATTTTCTCTCAAACTGACTCATTTTCCTGTGCGACAAATTTGATATGCAGATGTAACCTACTGTAAATGACAAAGTAAAAATAAATATCACCAAAGGTTTCAGTCATCCTTTAATGGTTTTCTTTATTTAACCAGACAGCCCTCTGTTGGTCATTTTGATTTGTTGCTTTGGTACTGGTGTTTTAATGTTATACACACTTTTAATGTCGTTAGTAGTTGTCAGTTAGGTGGTGGAGTCCATAACCTTAAAACAACTGAAAGCAAGCACTGTCAAAATGATATTTCCCCTTTTTTTGCATTTGAATTGTCTTGAGGCATATCGCATAAATCAAGAAGAAAATCTTTACTAAGATTGGAAAAGAGAATTAAAAATCAAATTTTCATGGTGCAAGAGAAAGAAAAGCTCAATATAACGCTTGAGTCTATTATGACATTTAAAACCTAACAGTTCAATCCTCGTGTGAATAGCTGCAGTCCGTTTATAACCAAGTTTCAGTTAGACTCACAGGGGGCGGAAAACCTTTTATCTACTGGGCTGAGACCCTTATGAAGATGCTTGTCTTGCCTCTAGGTTTCTGTATGACTTGGATCTTTACCCTCTTTGAAGAAAACAAGTAACACCCTCTGCAAGTGGTTTAAGCACATGAAGTAGAGCATAAAGGGAGGGTTGTCTTGGGACTTTCAGCTTTTTTAGTGCAACAACCACATGGAGCAGTTCAGCTGACTTTGGCTTGTGACGCTACAGTTTAGAGCACAGCTCTAAACCCCTCCATGCCCTTTAAGCGAGGGACAGTTTGGAAAAAGCTGATTTGAAAAAAAAAAAGTTTAATCCTGGACAAGAGTAACGCAGCTCAGTTAAACAAATCCGAGAGGTGCGCTCTGGATTCTGCTTAATGTACAGCCTCTGATTTGTTGCATTTTTAAGGCATCTTGTGTCTTTTTTGGCTGCTGTGTTAATTTGAAACGGGGAACATTGTCCTGTAACTTGTATGTTTTATGTTCCAGCACTACACCAAAGACGCAGATGGCCTGTGTACCATACTAATCAAACCAAAGCTGGAGGAGGGGACAGTAGCTGCACAGGATGAGTTTTCCAAAGGTGAGTCCTACTTTCTTCATTCATGCAACTGCTGCAGTGTAAACATATTATGGATAAGAGCATGGATGCACCTTTGGTGTATATGGACTGAATGTGTTTCCTCTTGAACTGACCATCAGGTGGTTGGTCGATGAGCAGAAAAGACCTGAAGCTGCAGCAAGTTATTGGAAAAGGAGAATTTGGAGGCAAGCAGTTTTGTCTTTACTTTCCATCGTGAATATGAGTTGGATTATGAATGATGTATAAGGAGCCTGATTGGCATTATTTTAGCTTTTCAACTGACACAATATTTCACTTGCAAACTGTAAATTTAATGAAATACTGGGCCATTTCCATAGAAAAGTAGCACATAGTCCTTTTTATCCAAAAACTGTGTTCATTTTCAAGGAACACCAACTCAATTTGAATGTTTTGAGTGTTTTTCCTGATGCATTTTCCCCTGCTTAGTCTCAGATAGATTAATATCACTGAATGCTCATCATGTGTTGCGACAATTCCAGATGTCATGGTGGGAGACTACAGAGGGACGAAAGTAGCCGTGAAGTGCATAAAGAATGATGCTACAGCACAGGCATTTATTGCAGAGGCCTCTGTCATGACGTAAGGAAATAAATACATAGATCCAGTTTTTGAGGAATCTGAGCAAACTCACAGTAACGTGTGCACGCCCCTCTCCTTCATCAGGCAGCTACGGCACAATAACCTGGTACAGCTGCTTGGAGTGATTGTTGAGGAGAAAGGAAGTCTTTTTATAGTTACCGAGTATATGGCCAAGGTAGGTGCATATAGATGGAAGACTTTGCAAGATATGACATCCAGGAAGCTTTCGTGGACGTATAACAAGTTTAAATATTTTTTTCAGGGCTGTTTGGTTGACTACTTGCGTTCCAGAGGCCGGACAGTACTCGGTGGAGATGCGCTCCTTAACTTTGCTTTGTGAGTATTTCTGCAGTGTTCCACAATGCGTGCAGCCGTGTTTCTTATTTCTTATTGATCATCATTATATTAAAAAAAACACATCGCCTTTTTTATTAATCTTCATTTTTATCATATTTAAAAACATTTCAACACATGTAATGTTTACTTTGACATTTCCAAGTGCTGGAAATACACCAGCCTTGTGGTTCAAACTACATGCTTGAGGTCAATGGAGTGTGTTCACAATATTTCAAACGTGCAGTTGGCCTGAGGGCAGAGTGTGACTGCGGTGTGTTGTCTAATTGTTTCTTGAAAGGTTTGTGGCTTTGTATGTATGATATTTTCATGGAATACGGCCTGCACTCAGAGCAGTGTTTGCAACAGAGAAACACTCTGAGCTTAGTTCATATTGTGTGTGTGTCACAGAGACGTCTGTGAAGCCATGGCTTATCTGGAGGCGAGCAACTTTGTGCATCGAGACTTAGCGGCCCGAAATGTCCTCGTGTCAGAGGACAACATCGCCAAAGTCAGTGACTTTGGTTTGACCAAGGAGGCTTCTTCCACTCAGGATACAGCCAAGCTGCCTGTGAAGTGGACAGCTCCAGAGGCCCTCAGAGAAAAGGTATGCTGCCTTAGCACCATTCTAGGTAGTGTACTTTGCCACTCCTACTTACACATTACCCACATTAATGCTTTTCTCTTACTCTCAGAAATTCTCCACCAAGTCAGATGTTTGGAGCTATGGTATTTTGCTTTGGGAGATTTACTCTTTTGGCAGAGTACCTTATCCAAGAATTGTAAGTATATGCGTCAGTGGATTGTTCTAGAATCTATATTTTTACTCTGCTACTTATCTTTGAAGTATTAAATATTTTGGAGGAAATGCAAGACAGAAAAAAAGTTCTGCAGTTATTTATGTATTTTTTCTCTTTTTTTTGTAGCCCTTGAAAGATGTAGTTCCCCGTGTAGAGAAGGGTTACAAAATGGACTGTCCAGATGGTTGTCCTGAAGTTGTGTATAACATCATGAAACAGTGCTGGAACCTGGATCCCTCTGCTCGACCAAGCTTTCAAATGCTTAAGGAGTGGCTACAACATATCAGTCAGAAAAAGTGATATTCCTTCTTTTCTCGTGCTCATTTTTTATCCCTAGGACCATAGCTTGGTATTAAATTGAGAAAAAAAGCAAGAATTTTTTATTTTTATTTTTCAAACATCACAGCAAGAAGTGTTTTCATTAACTGTAAATGTGTCCAAACTATTGCTTCATTTAAGCCACCATAACTCTTAACAGTTTATGAAAGTTTATCAAGATCAAGATATGAAATCTTCAGGTCTTTTCTTCGAACACAGCGCTGCCTCAGAGCCAAAGTGCCTTGACATGCTTTCATACCATTATGGTGATGAATGTTAACATCCATTGTCGGAGTAGAGACGTCTTTAAAGTTTGTGAACTTATCAACTTGTTAGTTGGATGGATTCGTGGTATCCGTTTTTTCCATTACAATGGCCAGGTACACCTGTTTGCATGAATATTTACACGCTGGGTCTTGGACTAAATTAAAAATAACTGTTATGCAGCTTTATTTTTTATTGTTAGATGATATTAGGTGCGTTTTGGCTTTTTGATCTTTTTTTAAAGTAAAAACTTAAGCACAAGTGGTGATGGACCAATCAGTGCAGTTTTTGTAAAACCACAATTTTGAGTTAAAAATGTGTCTGTTTTTTTCCCCAACGATGTGAACCTTTTGGTTCAACAAAACTGTCTGGATTTTTATGTTCATTATAAATGTGACATGCTGCCATTTTTGACAATAAAAGAAATCGTGTTTCATATTATCTAATTTATTATTTATATATTATATTATTTACTCATCATTATCTATCCTTGTGTCCACTTATACGGAGCGTGACATGGAAAAATGTGAAAAATTAGCTGAAGAAAATGTTCAATGTGCCTTTTCTATTGACTGAGTCTCTAAAAAGTTTAATTGTACTGTATCACAGCTGAAAGGGAACGTTAAATTCAATTGTAAAAAAACAGTAACAGCTGAAAAATATTTCAACACGGACATTAAACATTCTTGTGAAAAAGGTCAAAGGTTATATGAATCAGTAGAACACTGCTCTTAAATGTGAAACAGACACTGACTAATTTGAAGTGAACCAAAAAAACTGAAGTTGTTTGAGTTTCACAGTCTTTCTAAATGGCACAACAGTGGTAGAATTAAAGCTTACACAAGTTTGAATCTAAATAAATAAAATGAGGTTTAACTGGTGTCTATTAGCTCATTTTAGACTCTTACTTTATCAGCAAACAGAGTCACAATAGAAAAAAGAAAGGTAAAAAGGGGAGAGGCGGAACCAAGGGCTTCCGTGGAACTAGGGGCTTCTTTCCCTGTTGCACCAGGCTGGTGCGCCATTCAAATGTAGACTGAACACAATAGCGGAACAGTAGCTTTGTGTAGTAGAAAAACAAATCGTGACCATCAGACTGGCTGAGGCTGGATTTGCTTTGTGATGGACGGTGATGACCTCTTTTATCGGAATATTCCGAAGGTGGTAAGTGAACAGTATAACGACAGTGGCAGTAGTATTTTGGGAGAAGGTTTTAAATACGTTAAGGTAGAGTAACTACAGTTCAAATGAGTGTTAAATTACTTTATGCTGATGTCAGCCTTTTGTGGTCGCCAGGAGCTCCACGCGCACCTGAACGGCTCAGTTAGCTTCCAAACCATCGAGAAGCTCATCAGCCGGAAGCCGGAACTCAACATCGAGCACAGCATGACAGCTATCGGCAAGGGGCAGCGGAGGACCCTGGATGAGTGTGTTTCTACTTTTTTTCACACTTTGAAACCGTAAAGTGAAGTCCAGCTGGAGCTGTAACAGTATTCTATGCAGTCTGATAATTAAATCGTGATCTTTAACATTTTGTTATTGGAGAAACATGAAGTTGATATAATTCTTATTGATATTATTAGTAATGATTACCTAATATTTCCTGATTCTATTAATTACTTAAAATATGACATTTTTATGACACAGGTCATTTACAGAAGCTGCCATGTTTAATTAATCTATTTCCACAAACATAATGCACATAATGTTGACTTAAAACTGTTTTTCCAACTTTATGATTAATAATATTTAAACAGAAGTTGTCCAATTAATGACTGATTATTTGCAACTTATTTGTATACATTTCAACTGGGGATAGAACTAAAGGAATTCTGCTCTTGAATGAGACAAAAGCCTCACTATAGTCATTGATTAAACGTGGATAGCAGCAACAAATAATATTATCAACAATAGAAGCAATAAGAAAAAATATACACTATGCCGTGGAAATGCGTAATACACTTGTACTTTGTGTCAGTACTGTTTAAAAAGGATCCTCGATTATATTTTGAAAATGGTTTGAAAAAAACTCAGTTAATCATGATTAACAGTGTGACTGTCACTGGCTCATATTTCTGCAGGTGTTTTGAAGTGTTCAAGGTAATCCATAAATTGGTGGACACGGAGGAGGCCATCTTACTGGTGAGAACTGACTCTCAGTGAAACTTTTTGTACTTCTCTGGTAGCAGCTACTGACCGTTCTGTTTTCCGTTCAGGTCGCTACAGATGTTATCAGGGAGTTTGCAGCTGATGGTGTCAAATATCTGGAGCTTAGAAGTACGCCAAGAGAAGAGAAAAGTACAGGTAAGAAGGGAGTAAGGTATTTTGATTGGATTGTCTATGGTCATGATTGTTCCACCAGTTCATAAAGCTTGCAGATCTATCCCCCCCCTTTCCCCTTAGGATTAACTAAACGGACTTATCTAGAGACGGTCATTAGAGCCATCCAGCAGTGTAAAACTCAGGGAGTGGACATTGATGTCAGGTTGGTGCACGTCTTATGAATAATGAGTCTAATCTCTTACTGGAGTGAAATCGAAGCTTTATTACTGGCAGAAGCAGCACTAATACTAAACATTATGTATCCTAAAGGTTTCTGGTGGCTATTGATCGCAGGAATGGGACTGAGGTTGCCATGGAGACTGTGAAGCTGGCTGAAGAATTTATGCTGTCATCTGATGGTTTGGTAGTGGGAATCGACCTCAGTGGAGATCCAACGGTTTGTGAAGACGCTGGGGAGTGTTTCAGTATCATGCTACCAGCAATTGAATTATTTGTTCAATTTCAGTAAATTATAAAAAGGTTTTTGAGTTTGGCTGTTAAGATTTTTCATCCCCAAATGTATGACTGAAATGGTCCTAATTTTTCTATTGAAAAATGTCATATTATTCTTAAACAATTGTCAGGGGAAAGAAAGCCTGACAAGAATTGTATATAATTTCTGGTTAACTTTGCTATAAGTGTTAGAATTCTGATTAGAAATAGAGATGACAGCTGTCAGGACATTATTTATTTCTTATTCCAAGGGTTTTGACAGCCTCACAGACTTCTGTCAGGATGAAGCTGTCCCATTTCAAAAGCTGTGTAGGTCATCTATGTGGGGTTCCTGTTGTAAGACCAGTGTTTTTTCTTTGAAGGTGGGCCATGGCAAAGAGCTCCTACCTGCTTTAGAAAGGGCCAAAAACTGTGGACTCAAGTCATCGCTGCATCTCTCTGAGGTATGACCATGCTGCTTTGAAATACTTTTCAACTCGAACAGCATTCTTACAACCACCATGGGTTGTTTCAGGTTCGGTCCCAGCTCGAGGAGTCCGACCTGCTGCTGAATCTTCCCCCCGACCGGATTGGCCATGGGACCTTCTTACATCCTGAAATGGGTGGCTCTCAAAGCCTGGTTGACAAAGTGGTGAAGAACAACATACCTCTGGGTGAGCTGGAATCAGAAAGAGTGAGCGGACAGCACTGAGATGACGCAAATTTGATTTCCAGCTCTTTGTTTTTGTGCAGAGCTTTGCCTGACGTCGAACGTTAAAGGACAAACGGTGCCGTCTTATTCCGAACATCACTTCCAATACTGGTACCAGTTGGGACATCCCTGCGTGCTCTGTGTAAATTTCCCCAGTAAAGCTCGTCTTTTGATAATCCGAGTCAAAGATGGGCCTCAAATGACTGGTTTTCCCTCATTTACAGACGGACGATAAAGGAGTGTTTTGCACAGACTTGTCTCAGGAATATCAGCTGGCTGCATCCACATTCGGGCTCAGTCGTGAAGACGTGTGGAAGCTCTCCCAGCGGGCCATAGACTGCATCTTTGCAGAGGAAGCTGTGAAACAGCGGCTCAGGAAACGGTGGAACGAGTTACATGGTCAGGTGTTCCAGTGAGCCGTTCATCATTTACCTCAGGTTTGGTTTGGAGGACATCGACACGATAGAAATCATCACCTTAAAAGAAACTGTAAAATCCACCTGACAGTAAAATACTTATTTAATCAACTGAGCTGCAGTATTTTCTACTGATTTACAGCATTACAGGTGACAGACACAAAGTTGTTGTGAAAGGGGAAAAAAAAATTTCAAATAAAAAGTATGTCCGTTGTTTGTGCAGCAGTCCTGTCACTGCAGCACTCTTTTCTATCAGACCTTCTTTCCAAATTTTCCACGTTTGTCCTTATTCTTCTTGAATTTTCCATGCTGATTGTCCTTCTTTTTCACTTTGCCTTGCTGGGGGGCTCCATTGCTTGCCGTTGCGTTGCCCCCTTCCCATTTCCTCTTCTTGTCGCTGTCGGAAAAGATACATTTTACAGTTATTTCCACAACCGAACACAACAGTTCTTCCAGGAGGATATCCTGCATCCCAGGGCACCTTTTGATGCTGATGACAGCCGTGTTCCCTGCTTTCTTCAGCACCTGGTCCCACTCCTCATCGTCTCCCCGAATCCGGTATCTGAAAATAAAATAGATCATCAATACAACTTAATATCATCTAAGCTCCATCCATCCATCCATCCATTCTCCTCCGCTTATCCGGGGTCGGGTCGCGGGGGCAGCAGCCGAAGCAGGGAGACCCAGACTTCCCTCTCCCCGGCCACTTCTGCTAGCTCCTCTGGGGGGATCCCGAGGCGTTCCCAGGCCAGCCGGGACACATAGTCCCTCCAGCGGGTCCTGGGTCTACCTCTGGGCCTTCTCCCGGTGGGACGAGCCCGGAACACCTCCCCAGGGAGGCGACCAGGAGGCATCCTGATCAGATGCCCGAGCCACCTCAGCTGGCTCCTCTCCACGTGGAGGAGCAGCGGCTCTACTCTGAGCCCCTCCCGGATGGGCGAGCTTCTCACCCTGTCTCTAAGGGAGAGCCCAGCCACCCTGCGGAGGAAACTCATTTCGGCCGCTTGTATCCGCGATCTCGTTCTTTCGGTCACTACCCAAAGTTCGTGGCCATAGACGAGGGTGGGAACGTAGATTGACCGATAAATTGAGAGCTTCGCCTTTAGGCTCAGCTCTCTCTTCATCACGACAGACCGGTACAGCGCCCGCATTACTGCAGACGCCGCACCGATCCGCCTATCGATCTCACGCTCCCTACCCCCATTCGCGAACAAGACCCCGAGATACTCGAACTCCTCCACTTGGGGAAGGATGTCCGCTCCGACCCGGAGAAGGCACTCTCCCCTTTTCCGGTGAGAGACCATGGTCTCGGACTTGGAGGCACTGATCCTCATCCCAGCCGCTTTGCACTCGGCTGCCAACCGCTCCAGCGAGAGCTGTAGGTCCCGACTTGATGAAGCCAACAGGACCACATTATCTGCAAAAGCAGAGATGCGATCCTAAGGCCACCAAGGCTGACGTCCTCAACACCTCGGCTGCGCCTAGAAATCCTGTCCATAAAAGTTATGAACAGGACCGGAGACATAGGGCAACCTTGGCGGAGTCCAACTCCCACCGGAAACGGGTCCGACTTACTACCAGCATTGCGAACCAAACTCTGACTCCGGTCGTACAGGGACCGAACAGCCCGTAACAAAGGGCCAGGTACCCCATACTCCCGGAGCACCCCCCACAGGATACCCCGAGGGACACGGTCGAAAGCCTTCTCCAAGTCCACAAAACACATGTGGACTGGTTGAGCGAACTCCCATGCACCCTCCAGGACCCCGCTGAGGGTATAGAGCTGGTCCAGCGTTCCACGGCCAGGACGAAAACCACACTGCTCTTCCTCAATCCGAGGCTCGACTATCCGACGGACCCTCCTCTCCAGAACCGCTGAATAGAGAGAGGCTTAAGAGTGTGATCCCCCTGTAGTTGGAACACACCCTTCGGTCCCCCTTTTTAAATAGGGGGACCACCATCCCAGTCTGCCAATCCAGCGGAACTGCCCCTGATGTCCACGCGATGTTGCAGAGTCGCGTTTGCCAACGCAGCCCCACAACATCCAAAGCCTTGAGGAACTCCGGCCGGATCTCATCCACCCCAGGAGCCTTGCCACCGCGGAGCTTTTTGACTACCTCGGTGACTTCAGCCCCGGAGATTAGAGATCCCAACTCCGGATCCCCAGGCTCTGCCCCTCCAATGGAGGACGCGCCAGTGGGATTGAGGAGGTTCTCGAAGTACTCCGCCCACCGACCCACAACGTCACCAGTTGAGGTCAACAGCACACCATCCCCACTGTAAACAGTGTTGGTGGGGCACTGCTTCCCCCCCCTGAGATGCCGGATGGTGGACCAGAATCGCCTCGAGGCCGTACGGAAGTCTTTTTCCATGGCCTCCCCAAACTCCTCCCACGCCCGGGTTTTTGCCTCGGCGACCACCCGAGCCGCACGTCGCTTGGACTGCTGATACCCATCGGCTGCCTCCGGAGTCCCACAGGCCAAAAAGGCCTGGTAGGACTCTTTCTTCAGCCTGACGGCATCCCTCACCGCCGGTGTCCACCAGCGGGTTCGAGGGTTGCCGCCACGACAGGCACCGACAGCCCTGCGACCGCAACTCCGGGAGGCCGCGTCATTGATGGAGGCGCGGAACACGGCCCACTCGGACTCAATGTCCCCCGCCTCCCCCGGAACGTGCTTGAAGTTCTCCCGGAGGTGGGAGTTAAAGCTCCGCCTAACAGGGGACTCCGCCAGGCGCTCCCAGCAGACCCTCACAACACGTTTGGGCCTCCCGGGTCTCACCGGCATCCTCCCCCACCATCGGAGCCAACTCACCACCAGGTAGTGGTCAGTGGAAAGCTCCGCCCCCCTTTTGACCCGAGTGTCCAAAACATGCGGCCGCAGATCAGCTGAAACGACAACGAAGTCGATCATTGAGCTGCGGCCTAGAGTGTCCTGGTGCCAGGTGCACATATGGACACTCTTATGTTTGAACATGGTGTTCGTTACGGACAATCCGCGCCGAGCATAGAAGTCCAAAAACAGATCACCACTCGGATTCACGCTGGGGGGGCCATTCCTCCCAACCACGCCCCTCCAGGTCTCACTGCCGTTGCCCACGTGAGCGTTGAAGTCCCCCGGCAAAACGAGGGAGTTCCCAGAGGGGGCACCCTCCAGTACCCCCTCTAAGGACTTCAAAAAGGGTGGGTACTCTGGACTGCCGCTAGGCGCATAGGCACAAACGACAGTCAGGACTAGTCCCCCCACCCGCAGGCGAAGGGATGCTACCCTCTCGCTCACTGGGGTAAACCCCAACGTACAGGCACCGAGATGAGGGGCAATGAGTATGCCCACTCCTGCTCGGCGCGTCTCACCGGGGGCAGCTCCAGAGTAGCAGAGCGTCCAGCCCCTCTCGAGAAGGCTGGTTCCAGAGCCAGAGCTGTGTATCGAGGCGAGACCGACTATGTCCAGCCGGAATCTCTCCACCTCGCACACCAGCTCAGGCTCCTTCCCCGCCAGAGAGGTGACGTTCCACGTCCCTAGAGCCAGCTTCTGCAGCCGGGGATCAGTCCACCAAGGTCCCCGGAGGGGGGGGCCCCGGCGGCCCGCGTCCGGGCAAGGGAACGCTGGGTCCATTTATCAAGATCATCATAGGGGGGTCTAAGTTCATAAAAGCCTTATAATAATCAAAGTGGGACTTACTCCTCCAGGTCCAGCTCCTTTACTTTCTCAAGATCCTGCTTGTGCCGCTCCTCAAACTCTTTAGCAGCTTCATTCTGTTAAATGACAAAATGTTCTTTGATTCAAATACATTCAACCATTACATGAAAAGTGGACAGGGCGGTTGGTCATTACCACGTGCTGGAGTATTAATCACTACTACATGGTGATACAATTCAACAACCAAATATCATAATGACCGTACCAGATCTTCATTAAGGCTTCTGACAGTGGGCTCCATGGAAACATCTTTAGCGGTTACCATCTCCGCTTCTATTGCTTTCTCCTGGATGCTGGTGAACACCTAAAACAGAAAGAATGAAAACAACAAAAAGCAGAGAGGAGATTACGGGAGTATAAAATGTAGGTTGTTCAGCATGTTCACATTGGGCTCTCTTATATGAATTTTGAACTCGCCTGCACAAACTTGCGGATGAGGCGGTTGAAGAGGCCCATGAGCTGCGAGCTTGGGAGATCGATTTCCTTTTCTAGCTGCTCCACAGACTTGTGCTGTAGTCCTATTCCCAGCAGCAATGCCTGAAGGAGAGCAGTCAGGCTGTGAACACCCACAGAAAACACTTCACAGCGAAAAACAAAAAGGGGCTGGGGAGGTTCCGGGGGGGGACTTACACACTGGGCCGCTGAGAGGGAGACGTTGCCGAGGCGCTTCAGGAAGAAGGTGCGTGCCACCGTTGGGACGAGGTCCATGATGAGGTGGTAGTCCACCATGCTCCTGGAGTACAGCTCCAGGCGTTTGAGGTCGTAGGGGGTGAAGCACGCGGCCAGCTCTGAGCCGCTGAGAGCTGTTGGGATC